CTTTTTGCTTTTTTAGAACAATTAATCAAATCTCTCTCTCCCTCTCCCTCTCTCTCTCTCTCTCTCTCTCTCTCCCTCCCTCTCTCTCTCTCCCTCTCTCTCTCTCTCTCTCTCTTCCTTTGCATGAGGACATCCACTTCTCTTTATTGAGCACTTAAAGCACACAACCCAAAACAAAAGTTGAGAAGAGGCAACTCCCAAGAAACTTCCTCCCTCCTCTCAAAAACCCTAATCTTTGCACAATCAAAACAAAAAGATATCAAAAGAACATGGTGAAATGAGAGCTTAAAGCCTCTCTCTTCTTGCCTTTGCCTTTCTCTCAAATGAGTATCATCTCTATGCCCCTAATACCCATCCTTCAACCCTTTATGTAAAGACCCAACAACAAAACATCACAAATTCATACCCCTTATGGCTCACTCTTCCCTTCCAATCTTCTTAGATCCACCAAATTGGCAACAGGTAACGTTTTCATTCATCTTCTTTCTTCAATTTCATTTGCAAATATACCCTTCAACTCTTTATTAATTACCCTAATTGGAAGAACATTCAAAGATGCCACCTTTTTTCTTTTTTTTTTTGGTTCTAATTCTCTTCTTGAATATACCCTTTAAATGTTTTTTAAATTAACCTAATGGGTTTTTTTTTTTGGGATTTTTTGAATCAGCCACCTGCAACAAATGATAATCATCCAGACCCACGTCAACTTCCGGCGTTCTTACCACCGCCGCCGCCGCCGCCGCAGTCTACGGCAGCTCAAGGAGGCGGAATTCGGCCGGGTTCTATGGCGTATAGGGCGCGGTTGGCGATGTTACCGCAGCCGGAGGCACTGAAATGCCCTCGTTGTGATTCTACAAACACTAAATTTTGCTATTTCAATAATTACAGCCTTTCTCAGCCGCGCCACTTCTGTAAAGCCTGCCGCCGGTACTGGACCCGCGGCGGCGCTCTTAGAAATGTCCCCGTCGGTGGAGGGTTTCGTAAGAACAAGAAGAAGAAGAAATCTAACCCTCCTAAGTCCCCCACTGCCTCTCAACCTGAAATGGGTAAGCTTCAATTTTATTTATTTATTTATTTATAATTTACAAATAGTTCTATCCGGATCTAAAAATTTAAGCTGATAGATTATTCCGAGTAAAAAATTCAACCGAAGAATTATAATTTTCTTTCTCGATTAATGGAAATATTCTTAACTTTTATTATTTTAATTTTTCGAAATTAGCAAAAGTACACGAATCAAACAATTAATCATAGTCAATAATACGCTAATAATTATTATTCTTAAGGTAAATTGTTCGATCGAGCTAATATCAAGGTAAAGATCGAACATTTAGTTCTCTTAGAAATTATCTCAACTAGGTTCGAATCGATCATGATTTCACTATGGAACCCAAAAATTGAAAAAGAAAAAAAAAGGGTTATAAAAGTATTTAATTTTTAATTTTATAAATAAATAAACAATTTCCCATTGTGTTTTTTAAGGTAATTCGAGACCAATAATGTCAAGGAGCTGCAACATTGAGAGCAGCAGTACAATGAGTCATTTCCCACCTTCATTTCCATCTCTCCACCACCATATTTCCCGTTTTGGAGCTGCTGCAAACAGCTCAGCCGTGAACTTCGCCGGAATTCACATGAATTCCGGCAGGGAAATGGAGCAATGGCAGCGATCTCAACAACAGCAGCCATTCTTCGTCGCCGGACTGGAACCTCCGGCCGCCACCGCCACCGTATTCCCACAAAACTTCCAAACAGAAGGCAACAACAACTTCGGCGGTAACCAACTATCACAATCTGGTGGTTTACAGTATAACTGTCATCAACAGCTTCAGAATGTGACACCCTTTTCGAGGATTCCGATGAAAAATGAAGAACAAGGAATATTATCGAACTTGTTACGACAAGATCAAAACGGGGAGTTTTGGGGAGGTGACCATCAAAATTCATGGACGGATTTGTCGGCGCTTAGCTCTTCTTCAAGCAGCCATCTTTTGTAAGAATTTTTAATGTAAAACAAAAAAACATCAACATAAATAATCTTAGATCGTGCTGTCTTTTGATTGTCCTGTTTTTTTTTTTTTTTTTTTTTCCTATCGAATTATTTGTTTAATGTCACATATTTTTATATAATGTTACATGTTATTTCATGTTTTTTTTTTGTGCAAAAAATATGAGATGTTTATGGGGTTTTATGATCTAACTTGCATTAATTTAATTCAATTTAAAATTTTTGGAATTGTAATCCATTAAACATCGATTAATAATTTGACTAATAATTTGAATGATCAAAAGTCAGACGATTATATTGATATTTTCATAAGTCCATAAATTTGATATTAACAACATTTCCATTATATAGTAAAAAAAATCATAAAACATCAAAAATAAGTCATAAAATATCGCTAATATGAATATAATTTAAAAAAAGAAGTTCTAGTCGTCGAGAACTAAATTGGGTTGCACAAACTCAACAATTCTACTCATGACGTGTCTCTCTTCCACCTTTTCTTCGACAACAACCCACCATTGACGTCGACCACCATCTAACATTGGATGTTAAGGTCTTACGACCCATTGGTAGAATCATAGAACTATCTTATTATTGCAAGTGTTTGTCACGAGATCATCTAATTCGATATCGATTATAAATTAAATTACTATATTGTATTAGAATTTTGTAATATTGACAAAACCCATTAGTATTTAACATTAAAAAAAAAAAAACAAAAAAAATGGTCGAATTTGAAAACTAAAATTAAGGTAGAGGTGTGTGGTGGAAGAATTAAGGTGGCCGCCGCCCCTCTCCCGGCGGTTGATTCTTGTCTGAAAAAGCTGTCTGCGAATGCCTTTAACAGCCCACTCTCTTTAATGCTCATTTTCCTCGGTAAAGAGAAATATCTTCTACTCTTCTTTTACCATCCATCATTCCTTTTTTATGGGTTAAAAAAAATACCCGCTTCAAACCCTTTTATCGATTATATACCTTAATCAGTTAATTTAGGTCAAACCGTGCTTAAAAAATTTAAGGTACGAGTAGAAATAAGTGGAGAATTGCACGAAGGATCGAGAGAGAAAGAGAATATGGGAAACGAGGTTAGGGTTTGGAGTCGGGAAAGAGGAGAAAGAGAACAAAAGAAAGTACGAGTGGATATGAATTGAGTAAATTTTAGAAGAAAATGTTTGGATATTCATGTTGTTGAGGATTATTGGAAGGGTGTCCCACATTGGTCAATTTAGAGAATGATGTTGGGTTTATTATCAAGAAATACTCTCTCTATTGATATGATATGATACCGTGTGTATGAACTTATTATTATGATCCAAAGAGGGATGGAATTGGGTATTGGGAGGGAATTTGAAAGTGGTTTAGGAAAGGAAGAAGAGCAAAAGCTGCAAAGGGAAAGGGAAAGTGGTTACTGTGTGCGAAAAGGAAGGAAATGAAAGCAAAAATTATGGGCACAGAAATTTATGGTCGCTCTTTTCTCCACTGACCCACACGCTTACGCTCTTTCTTTTTCTTTTTCTTTTTCTTTTTCTTTTTCTTTTCCCAATTTTCTCAACTAATTTTTTTTTTTTTTTTTTTTCATTCATTCATTCATCTCAATCTCACTATTAGTTTCTAATCTTGGCTGATTAGTGTTTGCAAATTCTAGATGGGTTAAGTCTAATGTGGATGGTAAAGTGTTTTTTTTATAGGTTCGGGCTTATTTTAGAACAGTAGACACGTAACTAAGTTGTGAGAATATCATTGTGGAGGGTTTGTGATTTGTAACACTTACATACATCCCGATACCTGTAAATATTAAAAAATATATTTTTTTTGAGTAATTATTTATTTATTTGGAAAGGAAATAAAGGAAAAAGAAAAAGATTATTCTCTTCTTATTCGGAGATGTGTTGTCAAACGTTGAGTGGTGGATAATGATTTTGTAGACAAAATTTGTCAATTGGATTAATATTATCTAATATATTTTGTTACACATTGTTTCAAGCCCTCAAATGATTTACCTTTCCTACTACCCCTACTAGCCTGCTATGTTATTTAAAATAGCACATTTTTATTAAAAAATATTTTTTTTTTCAGTTCAATATCTCTTATGTTTCATGTGTTTGTAGTAAAAAAAGAAAAGAATAAAATCTATGAAATATATCTAAAGCTGTAATTCTATTTATATTCAATTTAATAACTTTATATTTTCTCTTTTTAAAAAACAACAAATTGGAATGGAATTCCAATCGTGTTGTGATGGAATATTGATCTTCTAGTCAAATAGTTAAATGAAGATGTTTTAAAAAGGTGAAATAAAGAAAAACCCATTTAAAAAGGAAAAAGAAAAAGGCAAAAGGCAAAAGATGATATAAAAAAGCCAAAATTACCTCCTTTTTTTAAAATTAAATAAATTACTATTATATTAACTATACAATATTTCAAGATAAAATTAATAACAAGATAAAATGTAACCCAATCCCCCTCTAATTTCTTTAATTTTAGGTTCAACTCAATTAATAAACTCAATTCCTTTATTATGTGTTTAAATAATTTACGTAATTAATATCGATAAAAATATCCCAAGAGAAAGAAGGGGGTAAAAGTGGAATCCAGATTTTCTGGTCAACCATGGGATGCGTCGTACGTTGACTTGTCCACTCAACAATCGTCTTCAAGCCAATCCCAGAACGACGTGACGGCACGGCGGTAGGCCGGCGGCTGCCTTTTTCCTTCACCGGCGAGGCCATTTCTAGAAGCAGAAGAAGAATATACTTAGGAACTAGGTGATTAAAAAAATATGGCTAATTTGCCCAAATACACTGCAGTTTTATAATTCGATTTATAATCATCAATTTACAACCATCTGAGGGCGAGTATCGTTCTACTTTCAAGTAATATGGGCTCATGAGTTGTCCTTGGAAGTTAAGTTCCTCTCGCACAAATTAAAATAAGGAATTTATAATTAATTTACAAATTAAGTTTGGGTGGTGATCTTCCACCTCCATGAACACACAGAGTTGCCTTCCTTGGATGTGTATTATGATGAAACAAAGAAAGAGAAAGAAAGCCAACAATGGAAGAGACAATGGGAAGAAAAAACCTGGTTAGCTTTCGACGTTTCCGATTGTGGGAGGTGGCGGTGGTGGTAGCAACAGCCGGGTCTGAACCTCAGCCTCTTTCTGCTGCTCAGTAAACCTGTTTATTTGGTCAAGCAATTGTGTTGCTTTTCGCTTACCTCTATCTGTGCCATTTTCAGCCAAATCTGTAAGCAAACTAATTACACCGAGCTCCTTTGCTTCCACGATATGTCGTCGGTCTCCCGTGCAAATATGCATCAAAACTGCAGCTGCATTTTCTCTGTTCCTAGGGGATCTTGTTCCAATGAGAGCTACTAAAGTGGGGACGGATTCGGCAGCTCCAATGGCAGCCCGACCTTCAGAATTGCTGGCCAGTATGGCTAGAATTGCCAGGGCCTCATCTACCATCCCTATTCTAGATTCTGTCAACAGCTGCATCAATATGGAAACAACACCACCCCTGACTGCCTTTACCTTGTTCCCTTGGTAGAAACACAAGTTGAAAAGAGCGGTTGCAGCGTCCTTCTTCCCCCTCTGAGTACCTTCATTGAGCAGTGCAATAAGTGGTGGAATGGCTCCTGATGCGCCAATCATTACTTTATATTCATCTACAACAGAAAGGCTGAAAAGAGTGGCTGCAGCATTTTCACGTGCTTCCATACTCCCCCACTTCAGCACATGGACTATGCCAGGCGCTGCCCTACAGGACATGATACTTCTCTTATTATTGTCACAAATTGAAAGGTTAAGCAATGCTGTCACGGCATGTTCTTGAGTGAGGGGGTCCGTTGTTGAAAGGAGGTCAACAAGGAGAGGGATTGCACCAGCTTCAGCAATGGCTACACGATTATTTGCATTGCGTTTGGCTAGAAGGCGAATCTCACCCGCAGCAGATCGCTTGTCTTCAATGTTAGCTGATGTGAGTTTGCGGAGTAGAGCTTCATACTTGGAGCGTTCAACAGGATTTGCAAATTCACTGGGCTGAGAACTGCTGGAACGTTGTGGTGGTTCAATTCCATTGGCCTCGCACCATTGAGCTATGAGACTGCGTAAAACATAATTTGGTGTAAGAATTTTGCTAGTGAGGACTTGTTGAGTTTTTGGGCATGTCGAGTGTCCGTCTGCCAGCCACTTCTCAATGAATGTACGTTCATAGGTCTACCAGAAAGAAGGAAAAAAAAAAGAGACTGCATTAGGAATTATTTGCAGCAAGATCAACATGTTAAGTTTTATTCGAAGTAATGAATGCAACGATTAGATAGAAGACTAAATTGTGAGTTTCACATTGAATATCAACGTGTAAGGCAAGTCTAGATAGGATTATGCGATAAAACCAATCCTTGATGCAGGTTTGTATCTTGGACTCCCAATTTTCCAAGGAAATTCTTTGTTATATTCAGGAACCGAATTGAGGATCCCAATAGATAGCAGCTTTACGTCCAACCAGTGAATAAAATGTGAGTCTGTTTTCACGATGTTATAATTTTCATCCAGTAGCACCTAGCAGACTCTACGTAATTGAGTCCATCTAAGTCTCATTTAGTAGATAAGCACCTACTACCTTCCCTAAGGTTAAAGATTTGATCTCCCATCCCTAGGTTGTTGAACTAAAATGGAAAAAGAAAAAACCCCACATAGTTGGGAATGGAGTATGTGGTAGAAAGCTATTTCATCTGGACAATAAAGCTAATAGGGGGAAGAACAGGGTTTTTTTTAAAAAAAAAAATGTTCAGGAGCAATTACGTTCTAAAAGAGGTAAGAATCAGGCAACAGAATACGAAGATACCTGTCCGGTGGAGACAATAACAGGATCTTTCATCAAATCCAGGGATATGGGGCACCGAAAGTCTTCAGGTATGGGAAGGGACGATATATCTTTCTTACCAGCAGTCGCTTGTCCACCAGTGTGACTTTGTTCTTTTGAAGAAGCGCCAATTTCAGGGTTTTCAGTTAGCATAAAATCTTTTATTTTCTTCAATAGTATTGACATTTTCTCAAATCTCCCCCCTGGATCTCCATCACTGGCCGAAACCATTTCATGCAAGGCAAGGGACTCTTGAGTAAGATCATCTACGTTCATCAACTGCAACTTTTCAGCCAGTCCCTTCAAGACAGAAGGATCAGTAGCTAAGTCTTTGCTGTTGTTATAGAGAGTGTGGAGATTAGAATACAGCTCGACATCCTGTGCATCATTCCTTCCTCTAGCTCTTTTGAATTGAGAGAGGACAAGCTCAACCTGGATTCCGAAAGAGTTAGACTTACATAAAGTGGTATAAAACTTTTATTGGGCATTCAAACCCCATGATACTTTTAATTGTCGGCTCCCTTAATAGTTTTGCAGGTACAACTTACGAAAGTAAAACATAAGTTGATGAAAACTCTAAGGTCATACCTAATTGTTAAGCTTCTACTTCCATGGCACACGGTTCAATCGGTAAGATTCTAAGTTATAATCTTCCAACAATCAAAAGCGGTAGAAAACAAGTCCCATGAGTGAAGAAATATAATATTCTTAATTTTTAGCCTCGTTTCTAGGATATCATTTCAAAGATATTAAGAACAAAATGAGCGATGATAAATCCTCTACCTGCTCCTTAACTTCATCAGATATGTCAAGATCTACATGTGAAATTTCATTCAAAGCTTGCTCTAGTCTTGCTGACAACTCTTGAAATTGATTCAAAAGTTGCTCTCTCTCCAAGGCCTGCAGTTTAAATTGAGAAACAGATTAGAACAAGGGCAGTATAACAAAATAATAATAATACGTTTATAGAGCATAAAAGGAGAAACTATCTTGATATACAGTTGAAATTCGTCTCACATCAGTTTTCCCCATATTCTGAAAAACCATGATGGTTAATTAAGAATAAATTTAAAATTTTAGGCGCAACATAAACCATATATTCGCACAATGCAAAATTAAAGTATAGATCACATAGAGTAAGCCCTAGAGAAATGGAAAATTACACCGTAACCGGCATTATTGGTAAATTAATACGTGGTTTAAAAAACTGCAAAACAACGGATTCAAACTCGGCTGCAAATTTAGCCCAACGTTTGAACTCCAATTTTCCGAAATCATCGTTCCTAAAATGCAACAATTGCAACATAAATGCCGCCTGATCGAATTAAATTTAGGCATTAGCACGTGTGGCTAACCAGGATTCTCTTCTAATGGAAGGCGGCCATCAAAACATTATTTCCAGAAGTGTAGAACCCCAGTTTACGGCCAAATCAAAATGTTGTGGATCGAATACAAATGTTAACGAAGGTAAGTACGCTCAGAAAATCATAATAGCCGATAATCCGCTTTTCCAAACAGAACCAAAGCAAAGACAGAGAAAATACCAAATCGGAACGAAATCCGCCAATTCAAAACATCGCAGAGCAGAACAGGCCACGCTAATTAAACAAATTCCACACAAACAGTAAAGTAAACGCACCAGATAAATCTTGCTCCCCTCGGTCCCAAGTCTAAGCAACTCCTTGGTAGATTCCATAGCTTTCTTCAACGAAACAAGAGCTCCCACGGTATTGTCCGGCAGCGCCTGCTTCATATCCCTCATCTCCTCAAACATTGGGATCAACAGCTTCAGTCGCCTAGCTAGATTACAATACTGCTTTCTGACCGCGTATCTGTAATCTGAGATCAAAGCTACGTCGTTCACCAAGTCGATCAAACTCCGAAAGAAGCCGCCATTGTTCTCCCCCTCCATAATCCCTCAATCTAAACAAAAATCTCACAAAATAACCGTCTACAACAAACAGAAACAAAAAAAGGAAAGAAAACGCATCAAATTCTCCAAAATCTTTGCGTGTTCGCCAGCCGAGCCTCGCCGTGATGTTGAAAAAATCTCATCCTAATCGTCCCCGTGGGAGAGAAAGCAGCTTCCATTAGGAAAGACGAAGACTCAAGAAAGAGAAAGGAAGAGATGCGGGAAGAGAGAGAGAGCAAGATTTTTTTTCGTTTTTATATTTTCAGTTAAATTACGCGCTTCGTGCAAAAATGACCTTAAAAATAAAAATAAAAATAAAAACTTTAATATATCTTTAACTACTGGATGTGTAATTACGTATTTAAAATTTAAAAATTATTATTTATTTATTTATTTTCACGAATAAATCTTTAATTCATCCAATTATATTAACCATAAAAATTAAAATGTAATAATACAAATTAAATAAAAAAAACTGTAACTAACTAATTTAATACAAATAAATAGATATTTTAAAATTAAAAAAAATTTATGGGTTAAACTTTATTAATGTTTTATTTATTTATTTTAATTTTCGTTCCTTTTAAGAAATAGAAATCCGGCGGCTGGTGAAATAGTCAACACAGCAGCCGCCGATGAGTGGCCATGAATAATGGAGTCCGGCGGCGCGGCTAATGAATTGGTAAAAGTCGGTTTCGGTGGGGGGGGGGCTGGGTCGGGTCCAAATGGCAAATAAAATAATTGTGGGGGCCATTTTGCAATGCGTTTAACACAATACCTAATTATTATCTGTCCTGAAAAGCAAAGTAATTAGCGACGGCAACAATAATTGAACGTAATTAATTGACTTCCAATTTTAACTGCTAATTTTGTTTTATTTTCCTCTCTGTCCCACCGTTGATTCCGGTGACAGGTCGATTTAATTTATATAATATTTATTAGTTCGAATTAATTTCTACGGCGATTTAAATATTTTTATTAAAAAAACCCCGATAAATTCGTGACTTTATAAATAATTTTGAATACAAAATACAAATTATTTATTAATATTACAATTAATTGAGTTGTAATTAAATTATAACTAAAAAAAACTTTTTAATTTTTATATTTATTAAAAAAAACAAGACTGAATCTTGTTAACTTGTTTTCACATCTAATTTCCAGTCAATTTGTGCTTCTATTATGAAAATTTTACAATTTTTTATTAATGAAAAAACACATAATAATTTTAGAGTCGAAGCAATATTTTTAAAATTTAAATTTATTTTTAAAAAAATGCATACGAAACTTTGAAATTGACTAAAAACATATTTATTTAATTTAAATACAAGATATCGATGATTATTACTATTTATTTAATTTTAAAATATATGGTTTAAATAATTTAAATAATTAATTTTTACCCATCAAATTTTAAATTTAAATATTAATTATTGGCGTTAAATTTCATCTTATTAAATTAAATTAAAAAGTATTTTATTCGATTAAATTTTAATAAGCACAATTGTAATTAGTTAGCGCACTAAAATTTTCGGTATATAAAAATATTACAAACCGACGGAAATAAAACAGTGGAATAACAAAAGACGAGTTGATTTGGTCAGAAATGTAATTTCACCTGCAAACAAATCAGACCGGTCCAAGAAACTCGGGGGCCCAATTCCTTGACTATCAAACCTACGCCATGACTTAATTTTAAAAATTGATAGGAATTAAAAAATCGGACGGCTAAGACCCTCCGAGCTTTTAATAAATCCAAACTCTACACGTGGCTTATAGATTTCTCTACCGTCAGATCAATTGCCTAGCCTGGCAAAACTTAAACAAATACACGTGGACCACAGGCACTTTTGATAGTTTGAAATTTTGACTTGACTTGACGTGGCGAAATTTTATTGGTTGGAGGTGAATTTGGTGGGTGAGCCTTGTCCAGCCGATTCCAAAAGCCTAGGATCAGTCCGATCAAGTTACCCAATCAGGAAAGTCCACCGACTCAACGGTGGGCCCGGAGCGATTTAAAGTCGTTGCAAACATGTGTCTGGACGCGAAAACAAGGTCTGTATGCCACGTGTAAGGCCGTGATTGTTCGGTCAAAATTCTCCAAATCAAATAAACTAAAATTAGGGGTATTTAAGAAATTAATAGGACAATTTATAATGTTTAAGATTTATTTAATTCTATTAATTTTTAAATATGTGTCTTGTGGTCGACGTATTTAATATATTTTTTAAATCTATAGTTCGAAATCATACTATACATATAATTTTCTATCTACCCAAATAATTAATTTAATTTTTTTTAATATATCGAAGATATATTTTACCAAAGTTAAAATATTAAAAATTTATTAGTAGTAAAGAACAATAATTTATTATATACAAACATGTTTTAAATCTGTAATAAATTTAAATATTAAAATAAAAAATGTATAATATTTAAAATTAAAAATTTTAAAAATTAATTATTCTTTAAATTATTAATTTAAATTCGCTCATGGGCCGATCATAGTGGGCCTAAATTCTAAGTAAAGCCCAACATTCTTTCGCTTCTTCAGGCAGAAGCGACCCATCCGTGTCTTCTCTTTTACACAATCGAGTGGCGGTGAATTTTTGGTTGGAAAGAAATGGTGCAATTACACGAGCGGAAGAATCCGGCGAGCTTGCCGGAGCTGATCGGCGGTTCCGTAGTCTCTCTAACACTTGGTTTGCTAACTCAATGTATCCAGTTTCTTGTTCCTCACTTCTTCTCCGATTTGTCCGCCTTCATTCAACTACCATTTTCAGGTCTCTCTCTCAATCTCTCTATATACTGTTCTTCTTTGGAGCTTGATTGATGGTTGCCATTAACTGTGAGGTTATTTTAGTTCATCTTCTTCAGATGCAATTTTCCGAAGTTTAGTTTTAGAAATCGAATTCCTCTATAAACAGAAAGCCTAAGCTGAATTTTCAGATTTGGCGAAGTATGAACTTCTTGGTGGGGATGGAACTAGATTAGAGGTTGTCTCTGCATTCTTTGCCTTGGTTGCTGACTGCTACTTGTATTATCATGCTTAGGATTGGTTAGAATCCGTTCCTCTGCATCTCCTTCAGATGCAATTTCCCAAAGCGTATTTCTGTCATTTGTAGTTCATGTGGAGGCAGTTACTTTTAGGTGACACAACTCATTAAGATACTGTTTTCGTAGAAATGTGATAGATATTTTACTGCTTTTAGGTGGTGTTCGTCATCTGGCACATAATATTGTATTTGCTTCAATATTAGAACAGATGAATGGGTAAGTTCCTTACTGCTATGGCCTAAAGGAGTGAGTAGAAACACTACTAACAGTGCATCTATTTGATATCTTTTAAATTCAGGGATTTATTAGACCCAAAATATTAGGGCTCTAATTGATCTTTTGTGGATGTAGTCTGTGAATTTTAATATATTGTAGACCTATTAGATACAAAATTAGAAGTTCGTGAATTGATACAAAATTCCAGAACCTATTAGACACGAAGTTGAAGGTTCATAGATATATTTGACACTTTTTTAAATTTAAAGATCCATCCTAACACTACCGCACATACTTTGTAGATTACAAACAAACTCAGTGTAACAGAGTCGTTTCCACACACTTATAAATAATGTTTCTTTTCCCTCCCAATATGGGATCTCACAATTCATCCTCCTTGTGGGTCCACCGTCCTTGCTAGCACACCGTCGGGTGTTTGGCTCTAATACCATCATTTGTAACCGCCCAAGCCACTGCTAACAAATATTGTCCTCTTTGAGCTTTCCCTTATGGGTTTCCCTAAAGATTTTAAAACACGTCAATTAGAAAGAGTTTCCACATCATATAAAGAATGTTTCGTTCCCCTCTCCAACCAACGTGGGATCTTCTCACACACCGTTTCACTAATAGAACTTATCTGCTTTCTAAAGCTTTTTCTTTCAATGTTTTGTTCATTTCACCACATGGGTCAACCTCCGTTTCAGATTCACTGGAAGAGGAACTGAGAATTTCAAATTTTGTTCATTCTGAGCAGGGTAAGATTACATTGCAGAGCTTTATGACTTTAGTTATAGGAATGAATATTTTTATATAATTGTTGTGTAACTCGGTCCTCAGGTCAAAGGTCCAGTGAAATGAGGCTCAGAAACCCATATGACAAAGGAGTTTTACAGAATGTGGAGGAGTTTATGGCGTCAAAACGATGAGAGTGGTGTTATAACGGACCATTCTCGGACAACGAATTCTTACTTTAATTTTCTGTGATCTTATATATTCTTAAAGAACATATAGATCTTATATATTCTTAAAGAACATATAGGAAACAAAGCATGCTCGATCATAATTCTAACCACTCTATTTAGTTCCAAGCTTTGTATCCTCAGGAAATTTGATTAGCATAGACCGAGTTTCGAACACAAAGGAGCAACTTACAATCTCACTGACAAGGAGAATGAAGTTCATTGAAGCAACCATATAAGTCCATCTCTCTTCTTACTTGCTTATTCTCTTATGCTTTTTGTTATTTGTTATTACTTAGAAAATGAAGGCTATTGTGAGATCCACGTCGGTTGGAGAGGGGAACGAAGCATTCCTTACAAGGGTGTGAAAACCTCTTCTTAGTAGACGTGTCTTAAAACTGTGAGGCTCACAGCGATACGTAATGAGCCTAAGTGGACAATATCTGCTAGCGATGGGCTTAAGCTATTACAGATGGTATTAGAGCCAGTCACCCGGCGGTGTGCCAGCGAAGACGCTGGGCCCCAAGGGAGTGGATTGTGAGATCTCTCACATCAGTTGGAAAAGGAAATGAAGCATTTCTTATAAATGTGTGGAAACCTCTCCTTAGTAGACACTTTCTAAAACTATGAGACTGACTACGATACGTAATAGGCCTAAGCAGACAATATCTACTAGCGATAAGCTTGAGCTATTATAATTATATAAGTAGATTGGTCTGAGGAACATACATAGTTAATGGAAGTGGCAGTGGGCAACTAGGATAGGGAGTGAGCTTACTGCGTTTGAGATTAGAGCATGAGATTAGCAGAATAATTAGGCTAAGTATGCAAATATTAAGACCAGGAAAAGAAAAAGATCTGAAGGGGGACAACAATTATGATAACAAAATGGTAATTCTTAGTAACACAGTAAAAAGTTTGATACTCTTAGAGAGTAATAAGTTAAAAAGTAACATTGTGTTTGCTTTACTTAGACCTCATTATCAAATGCTATTATCTCTCCTAATCAATGTTTGCTTTACTTAGACCTTATTATTAAACCCTTTATTCTCTTACCATTTTAGGGGGTGGGAGAAAAGAGTTTTGGATGCTGGAAGTAGGGAATGCTAGCATTAAAGACTTCAATTAAGAGAAAAAGCCAATTTTATAGGCTCTAGGCTTATGCTCATACTCCCTAGACTCTGTTCTTTTTAAAGAAATTAATGATATAACTTAGGTTATGAGCATAATTTTGGACCGAATATAAATGGATTAAAACTATAGCTCGGTCATTTATTCTAAGTATTTCAAGTATTTGTTCATTTTAATCCTCATACTTTTAAAATTTTCTCTCTTTTTGACTATTTTAGTCATTTAGTTTCTTCTTATCTCGTATGGTGTATCTTAGGATAAGAACACCACATTTGTAAGGATTGTTCTACCATCTCTATTAGAAAATATTTCAAAGATTACTAATTATTTGAAGTTTTCTCACTCTCGAATTGCGTGCTATATAGGAATATCATGCGCAATTATTTCATTTTCAAATCATTTTCAAAGTAGTTAAGTTTCACAAATTAAAACTATAGGCTATAAAAAGAAATTAAAGTAGAGAGCATCAAATTTGACAATAAATCACAAAAATAATGTAACGTTGAGTTGTAACTTGTTTATCATCTTGCTTTTTACGCAATGAAGTTGTTGAGTCATGCCATACAAATTCCATTCTCCATTCAATTTCTCTCCTTTTTAATCGATTAATAATTTGTATACATATTTTAAAAAAATAATGTTCATCTGGTTGTCGCTTACATTTTGTTCTTAATCTCAAGTTTCTGAACTTTAAAAATAGTTTATATTTGGTTCTTTAAGTTTCAATATATTATACATTATACCACTGAATTTTGTGTTTACTTTTTATCTCGTCTTTATATTTCTAAATATTACCATTTTGCCCTTTCTGGGCTTTTGTTTCCAATAGTCCTTATGATTCGAGATACTCACTTTCCATATATATTGTATTGAGTTCATTTCTATTAATTAATTTAAAATAAATAAATTAGGTTAATTAATTTTTCATAACAATCAAAATTAATTAATTAGTTAAAACATCAAAAGTGAAAATTAATGAAAATTCTGTTTTTAATTCAAAATTTAATTATTTTTTTATTTCAATTTTTTTTAATAAAAGAAATAGTAATGTGAATTGATGTTTTCTTCGAACTAAAGTGGAAGACATATATTATTCATTTCCATTTTCTCGAAAAGACAAATAAACAATTTACCATTATTTTCTATAAAAAAAAAAATACAAAAAAAAACTATTAAATATAAAATAGCAAAATAATTAAATTCAAAAGCCTGCTCTCCTTGATTTACTAAAATTATTATTTAATAAAATTAACCTAATTTTTTAGACAAGTGCAAAGCATCACATAATTTAATTTAAAAAAAATTAGTAAAATAAAAAAGAAAATCAGTTTTAGAGAAATTAATTAATCAATATTAGTGTATGACTTGTTGGCCAATTCCGCAACATTAGGAATCTGTCTGCCCGAAAAATATCTGATCTCTGCCCGCAGTCACCATTCCAACTGCCCTTACTGGTACGGTCAGCTTCTCTCTCTCTTTCTCTCTCCCCCCAATTTCATGCTTCTCCATTACCCCCTTTTGGGACCCGATAGTATTTAGTAATGGTCCTCATGGACCTCTTCGTCTCCCATGGCAGTGGCCTCCATTTCTGATTAAAGTGGTGCTTTAATGGAGGTCGGAGGCTACGGCGGTGGCCTCTGTTGAGTTGCTTCTGCTCTGTACTGAGCGATTTGAACAGAGGAAGAAGATGGGCCAGGGGCTGAGTTGCAGTGCGAGTCATGAGAATGGATTGTTTAGTGCTGTGCAGTGTGGAGATTTGGCGATGGTTGAAGTTTTCTTGAAGAACAAACCATCTATGTTGCTTAATACCACTCTTTATGATCGTCAATCTCCGCTGCATATTGCCGCTGCTAATGGTCAGATCGAGGTCTGTTCTTGTGTTTTGCTCGTTGTTTGATTGGGATTTCGTTTCATTTTGGTGATTATTTCGTTTGATTTTGAGTGTGATGTTTTGTCATTGTTAGATCCTCTCTTTGCTTTTGGAACGATCTGTTAATCCGGATTTGTTGAATCGTCACAAACAGGTGGACGCTTCTTCTTTGAATTTAAATTTAAATTATCAGTTACTTTGAAATTGTTTTTGATTCCTGAATGTGAATATTTGTTTCAGACTCCGCTTATGTTGGCAGCAATGCATGGGAAGATCTCCTGTTTGAGGAAGCTCCTTGAAGTTGGAGCAAATGTATAGATTCCATTTCTTTCGAGGTTTACAAATCCTAATTTTCAATACTAATTTATGCACAAATCTTTTCAGATTTTGAAGTTTGATTCCCTTAACGGGCGAACTTGCTTGCATTATGCTGCTTATTATGGCCATTTTGATTGCCTAGAAGCCATTCTTTCTGCAGCTCAATCAAGCCCTGTAGCTGCTTCTTGGTACTTATTGCTCCTTTTAACAAATACATCTTCAAATTTCTGCTTAAAACCCTTGATTAACTCATTATGAATTAGGGGATTTGTACGATTTGTGAATATTAGAGATGGTAAGGGAGCAACCCCTTTGCACTTAGCAGCTCGTCAAAGACGACCTGAATGCATTCATATTCTGTTGGATAATGGAGCTCTTGTTGGTGCTTCAACTGGTGGATATGGGTATACTTTCTATATCAAGTATTTTCAGCTTTCTTTCGTTTAAAGTTGGAGTTAACAAATCTCTATGAACAGATGCCAAGGAAGTACACCCCTTCATTTGGCAGCCCGTGGGGGGTCTTTGGATTGCATTAGGGAATTGTTGGCTTGGGGGGCAGATCGTCTTCAAAGAGATTCCTCTGGGTATCATAGAACACTTATTGATATCATAATCTTGCTTTAGCTGCATGAACGCCCGCCTAATTAACGCCTCGCTCTCGATCTATATACAGGAGAATTCCTTATGTAATTGCTATGAAGCATAAACATGGAACCTGTGCAGCCTTGCTGAATCCTTCATCCACTGAGCCGCTTGTTTGGCCATCACCCTTGAAATTTATCAATGAGCTTAATCAAGAAGCAAAAGCTTTATTAGAACAGGCTTTAATGGAGGCCAACAGGGAGAGAGAGAAGAGCATCTTGAAGACAAATTCTCATGAATTTTCCTCTCCATCACATTCTGATGCAGTGGACGACAGTTTGTCTGAGGTAATCAAGAATTTGTTTGTCATTATAGTATGTCTTTAACTTATTGAGTAGGTTTTAAACACGATAGCTGTTCGTTATTCGACGTTATGAAGTTGCGTTTAGATTCAAAATTTTCGAGTAAGAATTAATGAAACAAAGCTATGGTGACTGATAGGATTTCGAAGCTTTTGGAACCCTTCATCAGGTCACTTGGTGGTGTTTTGTCCTTGCACACCATTAGTGGCATTGCTTTCCCAATTTGGCGGCCTTCACTTTACATCTGAAAGCATCTCTGATGTAATTTGGACTTCTCATTTGTTTCTTAGAGAGCTTTTTGATCTTAGGCTATTAGAAGACACGTGATGAATGGTCCCAATATCTGCAGTTTCAATTATCAACTCTCTTTACTTCTGAGCTGTGGAAAATTATTATCTTCTCTGTAATAGATATTGTTGTCTTTGGACTTTTCCTTTCGAGTTTTCCTTAAAGGTTTTAAAACGCGTCCGTTAGAGAAAGAATTCCACACCCTTAGAAGGAATGCTTTGTTCCTCTCTCCAACCGATGTGGGATCTCACGTCTCCACTCTGTAATAGTCTAAGTCCACCGTTAGTAGATATTGTTGTCTTTGGGCTTTCTCTTTCGGGTTTTCTCTCAAGGTTTTAAAACGTGTCTGTTAGGGAAAGATTCTCACCCCCTTAGAAGGAATGCTTCGTTCCTCTCTCCAACCGATGTGGGATCTCACGTCCCCACACTCCTTTTTAATGTGATTCTGTCATTCCATTGATTAGGTGAGATTTTGAATTGCTTTTGAGATCTTTTTATGCATTGGGAAACTTTACTTCTTTGCAGATCAGTGATGGAGATGCAGAGCTATGCTCCATTTGCTTTGAGCAACCTTCCACAATTGAAGTCCAAAACTGTGGCCATGTCATGTGTGCTCAATGCACTCTTTCCCTTTGCTGCCATAGCAAACCGAACCCAGCCACGGCGTGCTTGACGCCTCCGGTTTGCCCGTTTTGCCGAAGCAACATTATCCACTTAGTTGTCAAGAAAACTAAAACAAAGGAGGAAGTTGACGACCATGAAACTAATAACTCTAAGCAGAGAAAGGGAAGGAAGTCCCACAACTTCTGTGAAGGTGGCAGTAGTAGCTTCAAAGGGTTGTCATCGATGACCCCATTTGGGAAGATCAGCGGTGGTCGGAGCTCAGGACGAATAGCTGCAGAAGAGGATGAATTCGTTGATAAGCTTGGTTAAACCAAGATCCTTTTTCCCGCATTGTCGAAAGGTCAAAAGTTTGAATTACTTAGACTTTTGGCGTCGGACCTATCAAATACATAAAACATAGAACGAATGAAAATAAAAAGCCAAAAAAAAGTGTTGCTTGTAGAATTGGGAAATGAGAAAGATATTAAGCCAAGAAATGAGTTGGGTTGGTGACTTTTATCTGTGTGGGTCATGTTTTGTTGTAATATGGTTTGTCTAAATTTATATTGAAAAAGTCAAAAGTAAAAAAAAAAAAAAAAAAAAAAAAAAAAAAAAAAAAAAAAAAAAAAAAAAAAAAAAAAAAAAAAAAAAAAAAAAAAAAAAAAAAAAAAATCAAAATATTTACTAAAAAGAATGAAAAATATCTAAATTCTTGAAGGAGTCAAGGTAGGGGTCACGTGGGTGTAGGGAGGTCACGTGATGGTGTCTTCAATTAAATAATAAATGATTGGGATAATTAATAATTTTTATGACGTCAGACATGTAAGGAACACGAGAAGGGGGAGATGTTGACACGTGGAAGTGACGTGGAGGGAAGGGTTAAGAACGACGCGTGCAAGGCTGATTCTAATAATGTATTCCGCGATTCGTTATCAGACAATTGCGTAAACTTTTCATTTACTAATAAAATAAATAATAATTAAAATAAAAGGCCAAATTAAGTTTTTTTTTTTTAAATGAGTTCAAAATGCCAAATCAAATTTCGGTGATTAAATTATTAGCTTAATAATTATGTGAAATCATATTGAAAATGAGTCATCACTCCAAATAATATTTGTATAAATGAGTTAGGTCATTAGGTGGAGCTTCCTATTATTATTATTATTATTATTATTATTATTATTATTATTTTAATTTTTCTGTTATTTCAAATATATTATTATTATTATTATTATTATTATTCGTATAATATAGTTTTCAAGAAACGTCTTAAATATAAACACACACACACAAAAAAAAACAAAAAAAATTAAGATTTTTCATGATGTGAAATTATTTTGAATTAAAAAAGTATTTTAGTTATTATTATTATTAATTTTTATATTTGAATTTAATACTATTCTATGTAATATCATGGATTTGTATTTTAAAAATAAAAAATAAGAATATAAATTAAGTTCTAATTTACACATACCAAAAACTTATCCATATATACGTGTGAGATCTTTGTTTCATTATGTATTACATTAATAAATAAATGGGAAGAGAATTATTGTAAAAAATGAAAATAAAATAATAAAAAAAAAAACTCAATTTAAGATAATGTATAATAATTTCTCATAAATGTGAAAGGATAAGAAGGGAAAATTTGTCACTGCCACCCTTAATCTTTCCAAAATTTTAAATTCATATTAAACAAATTTATAATATGGATCAAATTATAAATTTTACCTTGTTTATTTATCTTTTATCCAACACGTGTGAGTGTGGAATGTAAAATTTTAATTTTAAAAAATATAATAATAGATATTTTATTTATCAAGATTTAATATAATTCCATGATTATACAAAATTAATAATAGTTTTAATATAAAATCTCTCCATTTTACAAAATTATCTAATAAATCCTAAATTTTATAGTAAATCCATAAATTTTAAAATATATCAAAATTCATGAACGAAATAACGAAGACTAAATTTGTAATTTAATCGTTGTAAAATTTAAAAATAAAAATAAAAAATAAAAATAAAAAAAAAACATTCACATGATGTGTCCACAAATGCAAGCACAAAGCAGTGCAACTCTACTGTCATTTGCAGGCTCAGTTCCTCCATTTCTCCCACTTTCAGCATCTGAATCAAGGCTACATTGAGGAGGCGCCACACAGCCATTGATGAATAGGGAGCTTGGTTCTGGAGCAGACTCAGCTAATTCTAATTCAAAACCTTGATTTCTCCTATTTTCGTCGGCTGCTCGTCGTTCTTCTGCCAGGAAGTGGCCTAACGATGGGCTGTTGTCGATGCTATCGACGTCGGTAATCTCCCTTGAACACAAAAAGAAAAGCCATGTTCTAGACCTGGCATTGCTCCTCTTGCCATTTGTGCCCTCTGTTCTTCTTCCCCTGATTGATCTTCTTGAGAGCTCCAAAATGTTTGAAACTCCTATGAGACTCCCAAGTGTGATGCTGTTGTTATGGAAGAAAGATCCTGTTGACTGCAACAATAACACCATTGACTGTCATGAGTCAAGACTGAAAGTGAATCTTGAGCATCAATCTTTCATATGCATTACGTATCTAATGGATGGCCATAATCTGAGCCAAGTCCATAAGATTACAAGGGATTCTCTCTAGCAATTCTCGTTGATCTCTTAATATGAGATCTCATATTAGTCGGAGAGGAGAACGAAGTATTTTTTACGAGGGTATGGAAACCTCTCCCTAGCAGACACGTTTTAAAAACTTTGAGGGGAAGCTCGAAAGGAAAAGTCCAAAAAAGACGATATCTACTAATAGTGAGCTTGGACTGTTACAAATGGTACTAGAGCTAGACACCAGACGATATGTCACCGAGGAGGCAAAGCCCAGAAGGGAGTGGGCACGAGACGGTGTGTCAACAAGAACGTTGGGTTCCGAAGGGGAGTGGATTGGGAGGTCCCACATCGATTGTAGAAGGGAACGAGTGTCAGCAAGGACGTGAACATGATTGGTGAAGGGGGCCTAAGCGCCTTAGGTAGCTGCTATCTATCGGATCTTTTCTAATAAGTTAGGTAGGCGGGCTCCGAAGGGGGTGGATTGTGAGATTCACATCTGTTAAGGAGGAGAACGAACCATTCTTTACAAGGGTATGAAAACCTCTCACTAGCAAACGCATTTTAAAAACTTTGAATGAAAGTCAGAAAGGAAAAACTCAAACAAGACAATATCTACTAGCGAGGTTTTGACCGTTACACTTGTCTCTTCCTACTTATGAAGCGAAAAGCGTATGCTTAACTTATAATGCAATAACATGAAAGTATACATTCATTCATCCTTTTCCAGTTGTGGACATTGAGATTTCATGAAAAAAGAGTGGGATACCTCTGCCACTAAGTTTTTCTCACTGTTAAAAGATTGCACAACATACTTTTGATTCGGGTCATAAATGATTTTGAATCACTTATCTCAGCGTTACCCGATTCTTGCCCCTCTCGCACAAACCTTAATTTGTTTCTTACCTAACCGGTAGTGTACGAGAGGGGGGCCTAAATACAAAGCCCCCATACTACAGAAACTGAACAATCACGGATTCACCTAATGCACCATAAGAACCACTTAAAAGGACATGAGTGATCTAGAAGTTTATATACTTCACCACTTATCTTGGCAACCAAATGTATTATCGATAGGATTAGACGATTGTAGTATGAGAATAGTTGGGGGTGGGCGCAAACTAGTCCAGACACTCACGGATATTAAAGAAAGCAATAATAACATGCAGGGTCTCAGAGCAGACATCATTTGGTTGCCAATACCACTAAAAAACAAGGTAAATAAGTACGATAATCAATCAAACTACAGACCTCAGTGTCCAAATCGGTTGAAGAATCAGTGAATGAAACAGGAGAAGCCGTCATCAAAGTGTTGAAAGACACTGATCCCGAACAGTCTCGATTTCCAGGTACCCCGACTCTTACATTCAAAGGCTGTAGACCAAGAGGCCACCCCTCTCCCTTCAATCAAATCAACGAGAAAGCGAATTCAAAAATCCAAACAGCAATCAGATAATGGAAAAAGGAGAAAACACAGTCAGAGAGAGAAGCCCCACATCAGAAAGCATTCGGAGGGGAAAATCCAAATGAACGTGAAAGAGGAAACAAATGAAGTACCTGTTGAGCCATGTGTGTGCACGCCAGGTGCTCGATGAAATGCCGGGACAGTTGATTTTTTTGAAGAACCTAGAAACCCCACTGTCCGATCGAAGCCCACCTCAAGAATCAAATTTCGTTTCACACAGAGGAGCTGTCAATCTCTTCTCCACTGGATGATGCATTTCAAAGAACACAAATCAATCAATGAACAGGGGAGAGCAGAGGAAGACGAAGAAGAAGACGAAACCATTTCATTCCAATTTCATGGAGTTCGGTCTTTCGGGGTCCATCCCTCCAAATCGGTCAAAAAAGTGCGTAATTTATTACCATTATTAATTATTATTATTTTTTAACCTTTTTTTTTTACTTTTTTTACTACAAATTTAACAGAGGAATCGTTTCTTTTGGCATAATATTATTGAAAAAAGCAAAGCCCAAATTTCAGTACCTGTCTCCCTTAAATTTGTCGATTTTGACCCTGATGATCGGGTAGAATTTAGAAGGGGGGAAAGGGTAGAATGGGAAAGAGAAATTGAAGTCTCTTTACCCCATGATCAAATTTTAATGATCTTCAATTTTTGTGTATAATAAATAAATAATTCTTTTTCTATAATTTTGATTTATTCCCTTTTAATTTGGGCCGTGAAGTGGGCTTCACAATATTCTAAAGGCCCAATTTCTTACTGTATTAGGCCCAAGGCCCAATGGATCGAGTGTAGAAGCCCATGTTGATTCCATTCATTTCAATATTTAAATTTCTGCTAATTTAAAATTATAATAAATAAATAAATAAAAAGTCTATTTATATCAATAAATTGTCAAAATATTAATATATAAAAGATTATAATTAATTTTAATGGTTACCATTATTAAGTATGAAATTTATGCCAGAAATAGAAAAGAAATGAAAAAAAAAAGAAAAGAATTAAATTAGGAAACCCATGCAGTTTGCATTAAATATTAAAATTACATAAACTAACGACGACATGTCGTTTCACGTCATTCGACTAATCGTTTAACCTTCTTAACAATCTTATCGCCAAAAAGATTCGAAGGAAACAGAACCTCCGACGACTTCATTTCCCCGAATACGTAATCATGAGGCATAAAAGTCAACCGGCCGCTGGCCTTCCGTTTCCTCACCGACGGGAGCCGCCTCGGTTTTCTCGGCGGCGGCGGACACTCGAGAATCGCTGCAGGTTCCAAAGATCTTGGAGTCTTCACCAAATCATCGGGCCGAGCCTCGTCGTCGTCTTCTTCTTCCTCCTCGGGTCGTAAACAAAAACTCGACAATGGCAGCCGGAGCTCCAAAGTGGAGAGTAAAATCTCAAACTTGTCTTCTTTAGGATCTTCAAATTGCTCCATTATGGGTCTCTCAATCACTTGGCTTCCAAAAGGGAAAAAGAATCTACGTTGAAATTTATTAGGGCAAGGGCATTTTATGATAGTAATGGATTATTGATTGGACTTTTATAGAGAAAAAAGAGAAAAAGGTTCCGCATTGAAATCATCCACAAAGTCGTTTACTCGTTTACTCGAATGAATTATTGGAGAGAAACTGAACCGTACCTCAAATTTATGTTTTTCAAACTTCAAAAATAGGTCTCGACAAATGGGCAACGACCCATAAACAAGAGAAAAGTTGGATGACATTAGAGATAGTCATTGAGCGGGAAGACCTGCCTCGAACTAGACAGAGAATGGACAGTGAGCGGAAAAGAGATTTCTTCTCATTAGTTAAACAGGGTCGGGATGTAGAGAGAAGCCTGATAATAGTAGAGATAATTCATTTAACGAGAACCTGCCTCGAACTAGACAGAAAATGGGGTCGGGATGTAGAGAGAAGCCTGATAATAGTAGAGATAATTCATTTAACGAGAGAACCTGCCTCGAACTAGACAGAAAATAGAGTTGAAGACGAAAATTATACAAATTTTTATTATAATATTAAAATTATTATTATTATTATTATTTTAGAGATATAATTATAAAATATTAATAAATTGAAATTATCCATTAATTTTTTAAAAAATTTTGCATAAATGAAATTCGATCAAAATGTATAATAATAATAAATAAATTGTGTAATAATCTAATAATTGCTTAGAAAAAAATAAAATTAGGATTGCTTTATTTGCACTCAAATGATAAGTAGAAGGGCTTTGGAAATAATATTTTATTAAATGGTCATAGATTACCGGTCAACTAAGCTAAGCTCTCTTGAAAACTTGGCACGAGTAGGTTAGATGCACGAGATAGTGAGCTCGTAGCACCTACTAGTGCGAGCACCTAACGGCTAAAGTTGTCAGATTAAAAGGTCTAAAGGTCTAAAGGACCAAGTTTCACCAACTCATCTTCCTCCTGCCTTTTTAAAGTCGACATTTGACCAAAGATACTAAACGTTTGTGCAAAAGTAGAAACAAATCAATAAGAAGTCAGTCAATTTTTCGTTGAAGCCTTCTCAATTGAGAAAACTGAACCGATACAATCGAGTAATATGAAGTCTCTATACTCTTAATTTCATTTTATTTTAATTCTATACTTTCAATTTCAATTTCAGTCGTTGAAAATTAATTTCTAAATCAGTTAAATAATAATAATAATAATAATTTTCATGCCGCGAAAATAATAATAATAAATTTATTTATGAAAAAAATACCAATAGAAAAAAAAGTAATTTTAAAAATTGAATATTTAAAGATAAAATCAATGTTTAAAACTATTTATTAATATTATAAATAAATAACGAAAAAAACCCAATTTATTAATTTGGCGGTTACTTTCGTTTTAAACTTGATTGAAAACCACAAATTGGAAAAATAAATAAATAAATAAATAAGAAAATTATGGTGTTGAATTATTTATTGGATAGGGATGTGACACCAAACATATCTTTTAGGAAATGGAAAATAATTATGAACAATCATGTCAATAATTAATTCTTTGAAAATAAGAAAAAAAAAAAACTATATTTGCTAGTGATAGGCTTAAGTCATTATAAATGATATAAGAGCCAGACACGAGACGATGTGTCAACCAAGAGGTTAAGTCCTAAAAGGGGTGGACATAGGTATTGAGCCAACAAAGACGCTAGGCTTCGAATGGAGTAGATTGGGGGTCTCACATAGATTGGAGAAGGGAACGAGTGTCCGCAAGTACACTGGATGTTGAAGGGAAGTAAATTGTAAGATCGCACATCAATTAGAGAAGGAAAAAAAATGTGAAAATCTCTCTCTAACATACGTGTTTTAAAAATTTTAAAAAAACCTGAAAAAAAAGATAATATCTGTTGGCGATGAGCTTGGGCTTGACTGTTACTGAGAAATTATCCATTTATTTTTCTTTTTAAAGTAATAAATAAATAAAACATTTTACAATAAATGAGAATTGAAAATAAAATTATGGTCCAAAATGGGCTCGCTTTGATCAGCCGGGCCCAACAAAGCACGTAGCAAAATTGGGCCGAAGGCCCAATTGTTGAATGGAGCAAGTCGGTCCAGTCGTCTCGCTTTGCTATTGACGACGAAAGCACCACAAAACAGCCTGTATCCACGGGAACCCATAACATTTCGACACGTGTCTAAGTCTGCTTTGATCTCGCTTGAGATCATCCAACGGTACAGATCGATTTTCAACTGCGAGTTCGTTTAAAATCCGAATTTCCACTCTGCATAGCTCCATATGCATTTGCAATTTTTGAACGCAAAGGCGGGCAGCTGAGATCGTAGCCACTTTCTTCTTTCTCTCCTTAGCGGGCTTTCGTTCATCTTTCAGGTGCTATGCGATTTTCTCTGTGCATTCTGATCTTTTTTTCCCGAGAACATTTCTGTAATGTGATTCTTCGTAACGCTAGGCGGCATTATGATATTGTTGTTGTTGTTGTTGCCGATTTTTAGATTGTTCTTCCGATCATGTTGTACGAAGCATCATTGAATGAAACTCCTGTCCCTATTTGTTACATTATTCAAATCCATGCAGCTGCAGATATTTTCGTTATTTCTATATTGATTATGATCTTCTTTGTCTTTACGATGGATTGCATGTGTTTTTTTCTTCCATTTGCATGTGGAGATGCAGTAAGGAGCGTCTTTCTGATTTTTTTAATAATGGCATTTGTTTCGATTTGACCAAAAATTATTGTGAATCAGTTTCATCATTTCTCTGTTTGCATTTGCGATTCATGATCTGGCATTGGATCATAATGATCTCACGTACTGAACTTGTGAGATACGCATCTTGTGCCCTCAAGACCGTCTGTGAGGGAATTTAGCAGATCGGGATCTTTCTAGACTGATTGAGGATGTGCATAAAATGTAAATTCTTTTGTGCTTAACACAGCAGATCGCCAATTCTAATGGCAAATTAGATTACACTGTCTTGATTTTCCTCTCTTTTTCCAAGTCTGGCTTATTGTTCTGAATGTTTATATTTAGCCAGTGATCGAAGATGGCAGAAGGGGAGGATATTCAGCCACTTGTCTGCGACAATGGAACAGGAATGGTCAAGGTGTGTTTGTTAGATATCCAATAAAACTATTCAGCAAAACTTCTATTATTCTGATGTTTATGATGTCTATTGTTATGAATATCTTTTGAGTTTTTTTACTGATATGGTCAATGTTAGGCTGGCTTTGCTGGAGATGATGCTCCAAGGGCCGTGTTTCCTAGTATAGTAGGTCGACCAAGGCATACTGGTGTGATGGTCGGAATGGGGCAAAAGGATGCGTATGTTGGGGATGAAGCTCAGTCGAAACGTGGTATATTAACTTTGAAATATCCCATAGAGCATGGTATAGTGAGTAATTGGGATGACATGGAGAAAATTTGGCATCATACCTTCTACAATGAACTCCGAGTGGCTCCAGAAGAGCACCCTGTCCTACTCACGGAAGCACCTCTGAACCCAAAGGCAAACCGTGAAAAAATGACCCAAATTATGTTCGAGACCTTCAACACTCCTGCCATGTATGTTGCCATTCAGGCTGTTCTTTCCCTCTATGCTAGTGGACGCACAACTGGTAAGCAGATCGATCTTTGATTTGGTTAAGCGAATTTATAAAAAGTTTTAAATTTTTGCCATCTTGTTTTCATGATTAGAACCATAACTCGCAACTTAGATAAATATTAAATTGCTAATTACTCTCATATGACGATTGTTTAACTGCACTGCGGAGATAAATTAAACAAAGCAAGTTCATAAGCTTTTAAACAGATAATATGATTATAGCTCTATCGTCTTTTGTTAGTGAGGAAATTCAATCATGTATAATCCTTGCCCTACTGCATGCTCACATAAATGCTATATCTATGTGGTTCAAATTTTCAATAGGTATTGTTATGGATTCTGGAGACGGTGTCAGTCACACAGTCCCAATCTACGAGGGGTATGCTCTCCCCCATGCCATACTCCGTCTTGACCTTGCTGGCCGTGACCTCACTGATGGCCTTATGAAAATCTTGACTGAACGTGGGTATTCCTTCACCACCTCAGCTGAGCGAGAAATTGTGAGGGACATGAAGGAAAAACTAGCATATATTGCCCTCGACTATGAGCAAGAACTTGAAACTTCCAAAAATGCTTCATCTGTCGAGAAGAGCTATGAACTGCCTGATGGGCAGGTTATCACAATTGGTGCAGAACGTTTCCGATGCCCTGAAGTTCTTTTCCAGCCTTCAATGATAGGAATGGAAGCTGCAGGTATCCATGAAACAACATATAACTCCATCATGAAATGTGATGTTGACATCAGAAAGGATCTGTATGGGAATATTGTTCTTAGTGGTGGATCAACCATGTTCCCTGGCATTGCTGACAGAATGAGCAAGGAAATAGCTGCATTAGCTCCAAGCAGCATGAAAATAAAGGTGGTAGCACCACCTGAAAGAAAGTACAGTGTCTGGATTGGTGGCTCCATTTTGGCCTCACTTAGCACGTTTCAGCAGGTATGAGTAGCGTTCATGTTCATAATTGCCTTTGTTTATCGTATCATTAAACCAGTTCAATGTGAATAATTTTAAAATGGGTTGCAGATGTGGATCGCAAAGGCAGAGTATGATGAATCTGGTCCATCCATTGTGCACAGGAAATGCTTCTGATTTTGCCGGACAACCTATTTTTTTGGGCACTACAATTGCAGTTCGTTTGTGTTCCTCGCGTATTCCTAATTTTTTGAGTGTTCATCTTTTTTTTGGTCCACTAAAATTATAAATTTAATGGTGGAAATTTGCATTAGTTTTCGTTTTTTCTTGAATATTCTATTGTATTTGCAGTTGTTGAGATATTAAATCCAACCGCCTTATTAAATCCAACTCTCTTACTGTTTTTCCCAACAATATTCTTACAACAAGAATCATAAAATGCCTAGCTAAGGGTTTAAATATAAAATTTAAATTTGAATAAATAAAAATTTTATGAATTGAATTAGTTCAATTTTTTTTTTTTAAAATTGGTATGGATTAAACTTAATCAATTCAAATTTATTTATTATTTTTTTTTCTTTTGCTTACAATATAATCATATAATCATGTAAAAATAAAAATTGAATAGTTACGTATTTTTATTTTAAATTTATAATGAATTTTCTAATTATTTATTCTGTTAAAAATAAAAATAAGATTTAAGTATTTGAAATGTAATTTTTAAAAAATTGAATTGTAAATCTTAATTCAATAAGTCAACCGAATTAACTTTGTCCCATTTATTAGTCCAACCATTCAATAAGTCAGCTAATTTACTCTCTTTTAATTTTTTGGGAATATTAAATTAATTTATAAATATATTATAAATCCCTCCTAATATTCTTTTACCAAATAAAAGAAGGGTATAAATGCAAATTTTGAAACAACCAGGGACGAGAAGAAAAGAATATCAATTATTAAGAAATTACAAAATTTCCTTTTTTGACACATTTTTTTGTTTTTTTTACACTTTACATCCCCCCTTGGCCCCTCCAAGTAAACTGCAGAATCAATCTTGAGGCAATTCCAAGAACCTTAATCACTGTATAAAGATTAAAAGAAACCTGACCTTTTATACACAGGATCTCCAGATCCTCCCTTCTAATGAAATCACGATGATCGACACATCGTCGTGGTACTTCCTCCGGTCGCCCTGCGGTATTTCGAGCAGCTCGTGGAAATCCATACCTGTAATGTATTACCATAGCCAAGTTAAGCATTCTTAATGTATCAGCATTCATATTTCGTAAAGACGAGAAAAGGGTGGCGACATTACGTACCAGCTCGCTTTGCAGCTCGAAACAGCAGTAATTCAATCAGATGTTGAGCCGGGTCGCCTTCGGGTTGTAACGTGATGAAAAGCTCGACTTCGGAAACTGCTTCTTCGTTTGTGAAGTACTGGTAGAGTCCATCAGATGATAGTATCAAAAATCTGTCTTTTGGTCCCAATCTGTGGTGGTAGAGACATGGCTGACAACTGATGTATGGCAATCTCCCTACGTAGTCTATTCTGAACATCTCCAACAATGCATTGTTCCATTTTGGCTGCACGTAAGAACAAACATGGTCTATGTTAACGACCGCTATATCGGATCGAAGGTTGCATAAATCGTGTTTTGTATCGATCCACGGTGAAGAAAATGATTCAGTTCATCAAGAACAATCCATACAAGAACAAGACATGGAATTTTAAAGAGATTACTAACCTGTTTGAGGAAACCAGCACCGAATGCCCGAGTAACCTTCAACGAGCCTTTCACACGGTCGTTCATCACGGCACCGGCATCATCAGGGTGTTCGTTTTTTATTCGTCGAACTTCCTGAATTACAAATCACAACAAGAACTAAATCAAGCAACAACAATGCATAAAATTCACAAAAGCACTGTAACAGCAGATATTATGTGCTTTGGCCCGTTATAATATCGCCATCAGCGACACGGTTTTAACACGTGTCTACTAGGGAAAGGGCTTTCACACCCTTATATTTTGTTTTCCTCTCCAATCGATGTGGGATCTCACAATCCACCCCCTAGGGGGCCCAACTTCCTCTTTGGCACACTGCCCGGTGTTTGGCTCTGATTTGTAACAGCCAAATCTCACCGCAAGTAGAAATTGTCCTCTTCGGCCCGTTACGTATCGCTATCAGCCTCACGATTTTAAAACACGACTACTAGGGAGAGATTTTCACACTATTATAAGAAATGTTTTGCTCACGTGAACTTTCTCTAAAGAAGACTCAGACTCAAATCACCTCATGAACATTAGTACTATGATCCATGGAAAGCTGAAAAGCAGCAAGGTTAGCAGGCTTGAATGCTGCATCAATGTCATGAACTGGTTCTTCATTAATCCTCTCCAAATCCTGTCGAATCATCCTGAGCCAGTAATCAGGATCGGCCTTCTGCGCTAAAACAGCTCGGCTATCGCCGACATTCATAACATAAACATCATCACCCTTCATAAGCATCACGAGCACACAAGAGCCCATCAAAGCTAGTTCAGGATTTTCATCGAGCACCTTGTCTGCAATATCCAAATAGGCCTCTTCTGTGTTCTTCAATGCCTGGGACAGAGCTTTAAGAACATCCGAATGATTAATCGATCTCGATCCGTTCGATTCAGATCGATTCAACTGCTCCTTTAATCTCCGATCGAGTTCTAATCTTTCCTGATCCCATTCACATTTCCACCGCCGCTGATTATCCTCCCACTTCTCAGCCGCTCCTCTAAATTTGCCTCTTGAATTCTTACCTTTTCTTCTTCTTGAAGGATGATTCTCTAGTTCTACACACCGAGAACAAGCATCACCCGTCCGATTAACCGGCGAAGTGACCGGAGCGGGGACGCCAGCCAAATCGAGGTTTTCGCCCCATAACAAACCTTTGAGCTCTTTATGAACAGAGGAGTATAAATTCGATAAGAGGTAATCAGGAGCATCAGGACCGTTAAATCCATCATAAATCCCAACGAAAACCCATCCATGTTCTTCAGAAACTACGACATGAACTCGATCTTCCCCTGCTTTTCCTTGCGCCCACTGCAGATTTTGGCTCTGCATTGATTCATCATCTTCCAAACTCCCCTCGCTACTGAAATTCAAACTACTCACCGTCAAATTCTCATTATGTTTCTCGGGCATGACGATCCAATCGGGTTCTTTCACCGCTTTAATCGGAGCCACAATGGAATTCTTCCCTCGATAAATCGATTTAGGAATTGCACTTTTAAGAATCCGAATCAACCGGCTTTTTCTGGATCTAGATCTGGAATTAAACCCGCCTCCATGAGAAAAACTCCTCTGAAATTCAGTGGATGAAGAATTATCGAGCGGACCCGAAAAAATCCCTTTATCCAATGGACCCGACATGAACCCTCGCTCAATTGGACCCGATAAAAACCCTCTTTCCAAATGCCCCGAAATCGGACCCGAAATTGGACCCGAATTGATCATATTTCTAGGGATTGGCTGCAAAGGGATTGAAGCGAAAGAATTCGAGCTTTCAAAAGCCGGCGCTCGATCAATGCTACTGTATGAATACAGATCAAGAAGAGAAGTAGAAAGAGGCGTCGATGTATTGGCACTCACAGCGGCGCCGGAAATTGATCGAAAAGTGGTGGTTTCTTCGGAATGAACTTTTGACGACGAAAGCCTCGAGGGATCCGGCCGGACATAGCAGAACGAGTGCCCTAATCCTTCATCTAGTGGATTCGATATCAGAACGGAAATATCCGGCCGCCGCTTACCATCGTCGATTCCGGCGAAGCAAACGCCGAGCTTCCCAATCCCGTTACCCATCGGGATTCCTGCTTTGGAGCTTGAAGAACAAAATTGAATCTTTTTTTCAGTAACCCAAATAGCTAATGATTTGGATATTTCATAGTGTCCACAGAGAGGGAGGATGAAGAAGAAGACGACGCGGAAAAGGGAAGAGAGACAAAGGCGTTGACTTTTAACCACCGAGCCGTCTTGGTTTCAAATCTGACAAAATAAAAAAAGAAAATAAGTTTATATTTCCTTATTTTCGGTAGAATCTGGCGTTGACTAAGGTTAGAAGTTTTACTCGGACTCAAATATTGACGTCTTTATTTCATTTAGGGTTTAATAAAAAAATAAAAAATATATTTTAAAAATTGTTAGCATTCATATTCAACAGGATGAGGACAAGTATTATGCTGACGCACGTGCGAAGTGGGCCCGGTTTCCAGAATCGGCGTTGGAAAATGTTTTCTACGCCTATAAATCGGCGACTTAATCAACCGGAAATTAAGAAAAATAAAGGAAAAAGGTCAAACGGCAAAAGTAAACGTTTGCATGGGAATCCGCGTTAGGATCACCATTGGATCATACGTGTTGGTTTGATGAAACAATGCTTGACCGACACCTGGCAAGTTCCCATTGTTTTGTTGACTTTTCTGTCCTAGTCATTCCTCCCTCCCGCAGCTAAATTTGACTTTTTTTTTCCCACTATATTCCATAAAAGAAATAAATTACCTTTAATTCCTCTTATATACCTGTTTTAAATTGGATTATTATTTTTGGGAGTACCTCGGGTTGATTATTCATTGAATTTGGTATGAAGATGTGGTTGATAGTTAATGTTTATCTAACGATACAATCTGAATCATTCAAAGTAGCTAAAGTTGATTTGTAAGTTGACATTTTTGGTCGGGTCAACTTGATCCGCACGAAAATAGGGTTAAATAGATACATATATCAAAATACTAATAATAAATATAAAATATTTTTTCAACACGGTGTGAACTGGGTAGATTCAAAAAGCCAATGGTTTTAATATTTTCATGTCTATTTTATATAATAATTTTATTTATTTTTTTAAAAAAAGGAAGAAATTCCTCTCCATGCAAATTTTTTCCACGTCAAATTAGTCAATTTATTGGACCCATTTATAATATTGTAAAAAAGTATTTTAAAAATAAAGATAAATAATTGTGAATTCATATTGACACGTAGGTACCGTACACGTGTACTCATGGAAACCCTCCACGTGGAAAATAAAACCATTTTATTTATTTTTTTAAAAAAAGGAAGAAATTCCTCTCCATGCAAATTTTTTCCACGTCAAATTAGTCAATTTATTGGACCCATTTATAATATTGTAAAAAAGTATTTTAAAAATAAAGATAAATAATTGTGAATTCATATTGACACGTAGGTACCGTACACGTGTACTCATGGAAACCCTCCACGTGGAAAATAAAACCATTCATATTGACACGTAGGTACCGTACACGTGTACTCATGGAAACCCTCCACGTGGAAAATAAAACCATTTTATTTATTTTTTTAAAAAAAGGAAGAAATTCCTCTCCATGCAAATTTTTTCCACGTCAAATTAGTCAATTTATTGGACCCATTTATAATATTGTAAAAAAGTATTTTAAAAATAAAGATAAATAATTGTGAATTCATATTGACACGTAGGTACCGTACACGTGTACTCATGGAAACCCTCCACGTGGAAAATAAAACCATTAAAATTCAAGTTCATTATAATTAGTCAAATTTGAGAAGTAAAAGAAATGCTTAATGTCCACTTTCCATATGAATGATAATAATTAATAAAATAAATCAAAGTCGTAATTATTTAAAATATGACAAGTGGGGAAAGCTTACGAAACTAAACTACCATCCCACACAGGTATGATATTGTCCAACTTTGCTTTAGGCTTCCTTAAAGGGCCTCATACCAATAGAGTTAGTATTTCTTACTTATAAACTCATAATCATTTCCAAAATTAGCCCATGTGGGACTTTTATCATCCAACATAATTATTATTATAATATGAATCGTGCACAAATAATTAAGAAAATAATTAGTCAAACTAAATGGGTTTGTCATCCTAATCTTACCCATAATTATTATTTAATTAGCTAACTTTATATTTTGTATTATTTAATGAAGATCGAAAAATATTTAAAACAATGGATGAAATTACCATAAAATAATATCACGTAAATATAAATAAATAAATAAATATATATATATATATATATATATATATATATATATATATATATATATATATATATAATGATTCCCAACGCGATAATGATTATGTATAATATATTCGATTATTTATTAATTAAATTAAAGAGCCGTCTAGAAGGAGAGATCCAACCTCGTCCATTGACTAATCTTTGTTTAACTATTAATCAACGTATTATAATATAATTAATTTTCTTCACAAATATTGTGGTTTAGGTTTGGATCTTCAAATTTTGACTTGTGCTTTCATAAATTTACTTCGACTTGTACAATTATTTGAAGTTAGGTGTAGGTGAAGGGAGATTAATGTAATTTTACTCTCAAATATTTAATATAATTTCTTAACTTTATTATATTTTAATTTTGTATTTAATAAGTGGTAGTTAGATGGTACGTTTTATAGAATACATCCACGAATTTTATACAAATTTAATAACTTTATGGGCACGAAAATAATTATTGATCTAGTTTAAATCTTATTTATAAAATTTTATTTAAATATATTTTAATTAGGGTTTTTGTGTGTTTGTAATTTGTTTTACAATATAAAATATTTTTTTTAAAAAAATGATATGCACGTTAATAGTAGCGACCGTGAATCGGACTCTGCTTTACACGTGTGTATATATATATATACGGCAAATCGAGAAGTTTTGACCAATTGACTAGTGACTAAAGGGCAATAGAGTCATTTCACTTGCTGATTTATATTGCCAAATTTTGAATCATTTTTGGTCAAATCTTATGACCAAATATTCTACCCAAACTTGGGAAAGATATTCAACCGTATTGTATTTATAGTATATTAAATATTTTTGTTTCTGATATGTTGTTTTAATATCGGTTAATGTAACAATAAAATGCGTAATATTTTGTTAATGTGAATATAGTGCAACCTGGTTGATCCCAATGATCAGTGGGTTATCTAGATTTTGTCTCGGGTTATGAAGTCACTTAGCCACCTACAAAAGAAAAAACGCTCCTTATAACTAGGTATGAGATACTTGATCTAAATTATATTATATATTCGACCAAAAAAACATTGAGGGTCTGAATCATTATTATTATTATTATTTTATTTTTATATGTACTATAATATTTTTACAAAAATAACTAAAATTTTGAAATTTTAATTAATTTCTTAATATTATGGAAAATTCATCGGCATTACATTTTTATAGTAATCATTTCATTATCAATTACTTTTTTAATCGTCATTTTTTTCATTGGGCCGAAAATGGGCCTAAACCTGTTCAGACGCAACCCATGCTGGCCCAAATTTTGAGCCTCTTAACCGATTGGGCCATTTATCCATTTTCTAGTTAACTTTAAGCCCATTTACAATTTTCGTAACGCGATAATCGTACCGGCCCAATGCTCATAAATAAGGCCCATGGTCTATGGACGAAGAAAATATTATTTATTATTATTATTTTTACAATAATATCGAATAAACTTCTAGATAATTGCCTATTAACAAATAAAAATTTTAAATTATTTTTTATAATTTTTTTTAAATGTCATAAACGATTGAAAAACTGATTTTAGATAAGTAATCATGTCGATGGTGATGTCGAGCTTTATTGACAATAAACAACAGATAAGGACACGTCCCTTGTGGTAACCTTATGTAATTCACTATCGCTACTTAACCCAAACTACATTGGCTCGATTCTAAAAAGTGAAGGCCCACGTTCGGTTCAAATGAAGCCTACAAAAAGGAAAGACATTGGTTGCCCCTAGATCTATAGCTAAGCCCATGACTCAGTCCTCGAGCTTATTTCATAAGATTAAAGTTTATGTCCGAACTTGAATGAATTGAGCATATATCGATTAATTCGGGAGCTCCCTAGGGTTCTTGTTAGAGCCCATTTTACAAGAATTGAAGAACAAGCAGTTGTTTGGTTGCCAAGAAACCGATGGAAAATTTGGAGGGCGAAGGTTACAGATTAGGCTTTGAATATCCAAACAAACGACGAACTAACCCAAAACCAACCCCAAAAGTAGACAAAATATAGACAAATTTCAGTTGATTGAACCGAAAGGCGATTGAATTTGGAGCCCATTTCAGTTTCGACGACTTGGCGCGGAAATTGGAAGTTCACAGGTCAGTCTTCTAGCAGGTCAATTTCCTGTACCTAAAATCAAAGTGGGGCTGTGCAAAGGAAGAACATGACGATTTTCTACCTTTTCCATTCGTTGTGAATTCGAGAAAAGGATCAGCCTAGTATTTTACATGGTTGCGTATTATCTAGTTTGTTCAAACCGCTGATCGTTGGATTATTTTAAATCTCCAATCACATCATATTTGTACTGTTTATTTGATCGATTTTGAAAGAATCTAACCTCCCCGTTCTATGAACCCTAATTAATTTCCTTATTCAACTGCTTGAGAGAACAGGAACCATTAATTTTAGGTGGAATTGGTCATATCTCCACGTAATCTAACAGTCTTTGGAGTTTCAATAATTTTGCCACCAACCCATTAATCTCTGTCAACTAACTCATGTATTCATCTTATGAAGACCTGCCCTGAGGTCGAGGTTATGGAGTTTGGACCAGGCAAGGAGACTCGTTCTGGGACCAAGTGGACCAGGATTCACCTATCTTGGGTGCTGTGGGTATCCACGGTTAGTATTCATTACTTGAAATGATATTAGCATCTTGATTCTTTGATATCTATCAAATTTCTGAAGGATACTCATGAACACACATCAAAATGTTTTGGTGATATCAAAGAATAAAGCAATAATCATTCTTTTTTGGTCATAGTCAAATCAAGTTCTTCACCATATCAACGCCTTTACTTTTCTCCTCCTCCTATCTATCTACCCTTTGGTTTATTTTACATAAACATAACTTTGGAGCAAGGAAAAACCTGCAAGTTTCTTATTTTTCTATCTAATCTCCAGGAGCCGCCGCCTTCTGAACCTTCCATAGCCTGTGAAACTTCGTTAGCTGCTGAAGGAAAACCCTACCTTTTTCCTTTCTTGGTATGAATGCATCCCTATAGTCCCATATTTAGTAATTCCTATGTATTAGGATCATCGAGATAAGCAAGAATACTATTTCTACGAAAAATACCATTTATGGGTATTTCAATCGGGGTGGTAGTTCTTTTTCTCGTTCTTGAAGTGATTCAAATTGAATGATTGCTATTTAAGGTTTTGAAACTGTTCCCCTCTGTTTTTTTTTTCTACTTTTTTGTTCTTAAATTCTGCAATAAATATCTAGGGGGCTTTAACTCATGTCAGCTGCCTCAATTTATTGTCTTGTTAGAGTTTCTAAACGTTGAAGCGAACTGAAAATTCTGTTTATGTTTCTTTTACTGTTTTGTTGAAAGGGTCTGTTCTTTTAACTTTCTGACTGTTTTTTTTGTTCTTGTTTTTGTTTTTTTTGAAGAACATCGCTGTTGAAATATAGACCCTTTTCTTTCTCAATTCAACTTCTACACAGTTCTTCAATTTGTAGCTCGCTCAGTTGTGATTGTTCAGTTCTTGTAAGATAAAATCTTGGGTAGATTTTGAAGGTGTAGTTTAAAAGATGATAGCAAACAAAAGAGGCTGAGCTTATTTTTCAATCTTAGTGTGTAGAGAGCTTGGAAGACTTCTCATCATGTTTAAAATGGAAAAGCACATCAAGCGCCAGGACTCCAATATACAGTTTAACAGAAACGTTCCAGGCTGCTTCTGGAGCATATTTCATACTATTGATTACCATCCCTGGCATAATGTTAAGAAGATGCTTCCTTACAGAAGGCATTCAAAAAGTAAGTTTGAAGCCAAACTTTAAACGATTTGCTACTAAATTTTCAAAGTTTTTTGTGGATTTGCTATCTGATTTCTTATCAAAACTCATCTGCAGGCAAGGGAAGTCCAAAATCAACTATGAACAGCCACCACGTTGCTGAAGCGACGGAACAAATTAACGACGAAAACAAGCCTTTATGGGTAAGGTCATGGTACCATTAGCTAGCATTATCTGATATAACTGGACGATATTGTGAGGTATGATTAGTTAATTCTGGATTTATCATGTCTAACAGTGTACTGCAGAGAGTTGTCCTATTGGCAGTAAACCGGGAGAAGGGTATGTGAATGAAGTGATAAGTAAAGAGATATCAGAGGAAGAAAGCCAAAAATACTGGAAATTAAATTCAAATTCGAAACGAAGTTTGAGTCGAACGCAATCTATACATCATTTAGAGTCTTCGTCGTATTATTCTCGACATATAAGTCCTATGGAATTAGGTGCACCAGGAATAAAGAGTAATTCTCTGAATGCCATGGATTCTGAAAACTACTTTACTCAGAGAAAGATTGATACCCAGTTGACATCTTTTACAGAGAAATCTAATGGAGTAAGGAAAACCTTAGAAAGTAAACAGAGTCACTCATTTAAGGAAGACGTTCATATCCAAGAGATATTTAAGGCAAATCGAAAACTATTTGCTGAATTGTTACAAGGTGCACAGAGTAAGAAAACTCTCCAAACCCCGCAAAATAAGAAGTCCTCTGCAAGTCTAGCAAAATCAAGGTCGTTTCCTGCTCCTGGTTTAGCACGAAAAGGATACAAAAAGCTTAGCTCACTCCAACACAAGCAGAACGAGTCCTTTCCGAAAGTACGAAAGTCTGGCTCTCCCCAACCATCAAAGCTGGCTGAATCTGAATCTCCTAAGAATTTTCATGAAGATGTGATGCCTTGTGACTCTGATAGTACTTCAAGCTCTAACATGACGCCGCAAACAAGCTCGTCTTCCTTGGGCCCGAATCGTGGAATAAGGCATGGGGGGTGGAATCAGTTGGTTGTCAAGCGTTTCAATTTTATTAAACAGAAAATAAGGCATTCATTCAAGGAGAGGAAGAAGGGAAATAACCAGAAAACATCTAAAGGAACACCAACCCAAACAGTGGATCCCTCTGGACATGAACTTCCCCTTAGAAGAGAAGAGGCGCAGGAAAGTTTAGGAACTGCCACGAGCGATGATGGCTTAGGCATTAGAGGATACAGTGAGACTGGCAATTCTGAGAATGATAATCTCAGTGATGGAGTTCAAACCAAGACTAGAACTGCTTCTCTGGAAAGGTATTCTAAACTGTCTGATGGCTCGGGCATTAGAGGATACAGTGAGGCTTATAGTTCCGAGAACGATAATCTCAGTAATGGAGTTCAAACCAAGACAGGAACTGCTTCATTAAAGGCTCCTCTGGAAAGATATTCTCAACAGCCCGAAAGAGAGGCAAAGTGCTTCCACTCACAAAGCTTAAGGCTGATACGCGAAGAAACGATTCCGAATATAGAGAAGCGTCGAAAATCCTATGGAAGGAATCTTTCTTTGCCTGATATAGATCTCTTTTGCACATTATTTACTGACCCTTCTCCTGCTGTTTCTCGCACAGAAAAACCAAAGAGGGGCGTGGTGCATTCAAGTACAGATAATAATATGCGAATAGATGAGAATCCAGCCCATCTATTAAACGAAGTGATATCTGAACCATTGGATAGTGATTCACAGAGTGTGGTAGAAAAAAGTGATGACAACATGCCTGTTGATTATTCATGTTGTTTAAACGAGGTAAAAAATGATGAGGGAGCTGCTTGGGCAGATAGGCTTGAGGAGAAAATACCTCATCTAGATTTTTCAGATGGTGAACACCATCAAGTATTGGGTAGTGAATGTGTAATTGAAGATGTCGATGTCAGCGAGACTGTTGATCAAGTCGGTGAAACTTGTTTTCGAGATGATGAAACTTCAAAGCTGTCCGACTCAGAAGGTAAATATAGGAAGCTATTCATAGTCTTTTATGAAGCCTAGATTAAAACATATAGCGTGCCTTAATGCATCAGTATTTGCTCTGTTTCTACAACTTTAGCATGATATATTCCTCTGATGAATTAAACGGATTTAGCTAGATAATATATTTTAGCTATATATCTTTCAAAGATTTATCCTCATGTATTTGGTTAAACTGTGCCAGGTTCCATATTAAATCGTAGGTGCAGTGTTGCAAATGAGCTCGAACCTTCTGATGACCAACCTAAGGAGGCGAGGGCAGAAGCTTTATCAGCATCTGAAACCTTTGTCAATCATGAGATAATTGATGCTGAGAAGATTTCTAACTATCTCCATCTGAATTCCGATCTTGGTAGAATCAACAATGCTGACTTCAACTATATGAGGTATATTCTTCAGCTCTCCAGCTTTATCGAAAGTGGTCATACAATAGACCGACCGCTCAGTTCTTCGATATTCGAGGGAGAGGAGGCCCAGTTTTACAAAAAACTTGAATGCTATTGGGAGAAGGTTGACAAAGGTTCTGATCACCAGCTTTTGCATGATTTAGTTTATGAGACATCACACAATGTGTTTGAAAAATCATTCACTTCTTTCCTTAAAACCTTCTCCTCGAGGAGCCAAATCCGACCAATGCCACTCGGGCAATATCTTCTCGAGGATGTCCGAGAAAAAGTTTCCTGGTACCTATGCTTGGGACCAGAACTAGACCAGTCATTAGACGATGTTGTGGGGCGAGATTTAAGAAAAGGTGACGATTGGATGAACCTACAAACTGAAATAGAGTACAACGCACTTGAGTTGGAGGATTTGATTCTTGATGAGCTTTTAGAGGAAGTAATAAGTTTTTAGGATTCCTGGTTAGATCATGTTGTTGATAATACTGTATAGTGGCGATCTCCAAATCAGTACATAGAAGTTCTTGTTCTGTCAGGTCCAAGTAGGGGGAATAGAAAAGATTCTTAGCATTTTCAATCACACACATACGTTTGTTTATCTGTACTTGGGAGTTTCTTGTTTGGATGTATACAAACAACCACTGCAGTTTTGTGGCTCATTTGGTTCTTCCCTACCTCTAATCAAAATTCTTGTTAGGAAAAGCAACTAAACATAGCTTTTTGGTTTCTCTGTATAAAATATGCGTACATGTTCATAATGAGTTCCCTGAATTATGGTTATGCAATACACCAATGAGTTGGGATTATCAAGTCAACTAAACATAGCTAATCGTAAGATCAGATAAGGAGACATTGAATACCATAAAATAATTCATTCCAAATCCCATTTCAGAACTTCTAAAATGTAATCATAGAGTCATGCGTGTTTGGAAAGAAAATATGTTCCCTTCGGCCTCCCGAACAACCTTCAATATTTCGATAATTCTTTTCACACTCTGGTTCGGAAATAAGCATAATATACAGAATGAAAAGGCACACGACAAATACAGTTTACATGAATGCAGTACCACAATAAACTTCAGAGACAACCATGACTGGGTTTATTATGGGTAAATCCATAGCTACCAGAAAGGATCACGATATCCATCTCATCTCCCAACAATTCTGAAGACCATTTGGCCTGCAAATTAAAAAATACATCCATTCAACCATGGCTTTCGGAAAGCAGAAGAAGTGATCATATTATATCAAACAGTTACGTAAAGTTACGAATCTAAACTACGATATGAATCTAATAATCTAATTAGAGATCAAGGAAAGAATGGATCCATCATGTTTGCATTGCATGTTTACTTATTTTTTCTCCATAAAAATATAACATGATTAGCCGGGGGAAAAAGTTTGAAGAAAGTTACTTGGTCCTGATAACTTGACCAGATAGGACTACTCATCCTCCTCGTAACGATGTTTCCTGCTTCTCTTCTCAGAGCGCTTCCTCGCTCTGCCCCTTATATCATCAGAGCTGCTATCATCAGAATCAGTCAGCGATGCAGCCTTCCGACCCTTGAGTTTGTGCCTTCGATGAGATTCCTCAGATGTATCAGAATCCGAGTCATCAGAATACCTATGGCTTCTTCTCCTTCTCTTCTCTTTTCTACTCTTCCTATGAGGTCGCTTAATTTTTTCTCCCTCATCTGATGAATCGTCTCTTTTCCTGTGCTTCTCCTTTCTCCTCTTCCTTCTGTTGTCATCTGAATCATTGGATTCTCTTCTTCTGCTCCTCCTTTTTGACCTCCCCCTCTTTTTCTCTCTTGAATCAGAACCTGATCCATCATCAACCAAATCATCCTTTCTTTTCAGTGACCTTTTCTTACTAGTTCTTTTCCCTTCCCTTTCAGCAATAATCCTCTCAATCTCTGAATCAGCATCCGAGTCAGAGCTTTCACTCTCTTCCTCCTCACTCTCCTCGTCACTCTCAACTGCACCTTTTCCATTTCCCTTACCTATATTTCCTTTTAATTTATCCAGCTCCGACATAACATCAGCCTGGATAGCTTCTGGGTCTTTCTCCTTATCATTCTTAACACTCAAAAAATTCCTGCACTGAAAACTAAGGTGTCCAACACGTCCACACCTCTTGCAAGCACCACGAACCTCATTGGCATTGGAACCAGTTATGCGAGCAAGTGCAAGAAGACCCTGAAAGCTAGCATATGCATTCTCTGCTTCTGGTTCAGAGCTAGCTGTGTTTTGTTGTGCAGAACTCTTGTTATCATCCTTGTTTGGTGCATATGGGTCATACCCAATTGCACTTTGCCATATACCATGCGTCTGTAGGGCAGCACTACTGTGTACCCTATTGTTCGCAGGCATGCGAACTCTTCCAGCTGTGGCTGGCATCTTGAAGCTTGGGGATCAACACTTGAGAAAAGATGACGTAAAAGGCCTGTAAGGAGGACAAAAAAGGAATTACTAAACTCAAGTACAACAAGAACATTATTCAAACCCAACTAAAATCTACAATAACAAAACAAAGTTTCCAATGAAATACCAAAAACCAAACACTATCCGAAGTAGAACCAGATTCAAATAAAGGAAACCAATAAAAAAAAAAAAAAAACCCCATGAACAACTGAAACTATAAAAGAAGTCTAATAACACCAATACTAAACTCCAGCTTGGCCATTGAGACAGTAATAAACAAATGATCTAAGGATTGCAAGTGCACAAATCTAAATCCAACTACAAAAACGAAACCAACAAGCTATAGATCTCTCATTCATCACGGCTCACCAAGCCCATAGAGACCTTAATCACCTGCCAAAACATGTGGGTGCGGGTGGGGGAAGGGGAGAGCGACTATATGCAAATACTCAGCAGCCCCTACTACAAGAGGAGCCGAACCCCAACCTCCAATCACCACAAGCAAAAAATCAGCAGAACATGCTAATTACGCTCAATAATGAGTAAACGTAACACAAATATTATAAATCAACCCATGGTGGTCGTTTACTTAGGAAGCCTTAACGGATGATGCTAGAACTCAGTTTGAAAGCCTTGAACACTAAATATTATAATAAAGACAAGGTTTAGAGGCTAGAACTCAGTTTGAAAGCCTTAACCAAAATTGAGAGCATTCACGAAGGATATTCTACACAATATAGACCATAAACCTTAATGGATCAGTCCTAACTAGTCCAAAACTACACACATAAAGCTTCCACATGTTAAAGACCGATCTAAGATACTTTACTTCAATCCAGTTCAAAAGGTTTCCCGTTAATACTCATTGAACCTCACCAAAAGGGCTCTGATCTTCACGGGTCGGTGATCGAAACCGTCCAAACTTGCAGATCTAAACTTAATGGACAGTGGACAACTCGATTTGAAGGCAATCGAAGTGTGGGTCAACGTCAGAGCTCGTCGAAAAGGAGATTAAATGTTGCTGCGAAGGTTCTCGTGGGTCACAGTAGAGATGCTGTCAATAACCCTAGAAATTTCCCCCTAAATTACAACAAGAATATAACTTATTGCTGCTTAATTCCACAGCAGCCTATTTCAAAATTTCATAATCTTGAACCAGAAAAAAAAAAAATTCAGATTAGTCTTCTACGTTTCTTTTTCCTCCCCCCAAAGCGATTAACCTAGAGTTTCTCTATTCCGTTCTATTGAGAATAATCGTCCAAAGAAAGGCAAACAAGAGGGGAAAAACAAAATTCCCTTAAATTACACAAAAATAGCTGTACTCGATGAACATACCTGTAGCTTGCAGACGGAACAAAATTCCCCAATTATGCCCTAGTTCCAATTCGAGATCGGGATGCTTCGTCCGTCGGAGAAAGATAGAGACGAAGAGCCTTACGAGTGAGGGTTTCGTGAGTTGTCGCCGGTAGTTTCGAAGAGGATAAAAGAAAATAACTCTCCTGTGATTTATTCACTTTTAATAAATTAAAAAAAAATAAAAACCAAGGAAATAAATACTTTTCGTTTGGCGGCAAGTTTTCTAAATGGACCGAATTGGGTAATTGATCTGGGCCTTTGGCGGTAAGTTTTCTTAAGAATTGGGTAATTGGGCTGGGCCTTTGACGTCAAGTTTTCTAAATGGGCTGAGAATTTTGGAAGTTGAGATTTGGGTTATTGGGCTGGGCCTGAAAGCGAGCTTTGGGCCTTTCTTTTCCAAATAACTGAGCGGTAAGTTTCTTAATGGGCTGGGCTGAGGTAAGGCGTGTGTGTATGTGTGTGTGTGTGTGTGTGTATATATATATTATGTAGAATTTTGTGTTATTTGGAGCATGGTATAAAAGCATTACACATTTTTTTTAATTAAAGTATTCCATAAAAATTATATTATGATTTTTAAATAAAAAAATAATCGTAGTTTTTTGTCATCTGTGAAGCGGCTGTGGGTGTGGGATTGTTTAGTGAACCGCTCCTTCTCCACTCAAATTCTTTGATTCTGCTCTTCTTTTTTTCGTTGTTATCGAATTCTCTGATTCAAGGATTCTCAGGAAAAGGGAAAAAGGAAAGAGAAATGGCCAGGAAGTTCTTCATCGGAGGCAACTGGAAATGCGTATGCTGCTTAGTTCTTATTTAAAATTCTTTTGTTTATTTTCTTTCTATTTTGTATCCATGTTTTTTGATGTTCCACCGTTCATCGTATGATCTATTAGATGCCGAATCTGTTGTTTATATTGATTTCTAGCTATTTTGTTTAATTATTTTTTGGTTTTGATTGCGAACTGTGAGGAACTTCCAAATACACTTTTCTCCCTTGGTTTTTCGATGTACTGATAACTTAGCAGATCCTGTGACTTAATTTTCAATCGTCTTCGATGTGTTTAAGCGATAAAAGTATGTGTAACTTTGGAATTGGAGTTTGGGAGCACTGGAGTTGCTCGATTGAACTAATTATCTTGTTCATCGAATGAAAATTCTACAGAATGGAACAAACGAGGAGACGAAGAAAATTGTGAGCACGTTGAATCAAGCTGAAATTCCTTCAGAAGATGTTGTGGGTACGTATGGAAATCCTGTTTAGTTTTCAGTTATATCAGTGTTCTACGAAGTTCTTCCAGTGATTGATTTGGTCTGTATATGTTATTCTCCTTTGCAGAAGTTGTTGTGAGTCCACCTTTTGTGTTTCTTTCGCTGGTTAAGAGTTTGCTGAGGTCTGATATTCAAGTTGCAGCACAGAACTGTTGGGTTCGCAAGGGTGGTGCTTTTACTGGAGAAATTAGGTATGATTTTCAGCTTATGCGATCGGTATATCGAACAGGAACGTGTGTGGCGTGGCTAGTTGATAATATCTTTATTCATTTGTCATAACTTTGTTCTTTGTCCAAAATTTTCAAAGTTAGTCTCAACAGAAACTGACGAATGCAATCTTTTGTCTTGATTTTCTGGGCCTTTTTCTTTTTTATTTGAAGAAATATTTCTCTGAACTCTTAAGAATTAAGTATACTTCATGCAATTCATTTGAATTTGATATTCTTTTGCCTGCAGTGCTGAGATGCTCGTCAATTTAGGGATTCCCTGGGTTATTATTGGGCATTCTGAAAGAAGGCTTCTTTTGAACGAATCCAACGAGGTAACCCCTGCTAGAACGGAAACTCGTGACCTTACCCCGAACTTTCCGAGGAAAAAGATTAATTTCACCATCAACAAATATCACTGATTCAAAGTCCATTCCCTCATCCGTTTGTATTCAGTTTGTAGGAGATAAAGTTGCATATGCACTTTCTCAAGGCATTAAAGTCATTGCTTGTGTTGGAGAGACTCTTGAGCAGCGAGAATCAGGATCAACATTGGACGTTGTTGCAGCACAAACTAAAGCAATTGCAGGTACTTCTATTTTCTCAGCCCTGACATTGAAAGTAAATGCTTGCAACTTTCATGAACTTAGAGCTCGATCGTATGCTCGTGTGCGTGCTGTGAGGCTTTTAATATTACACTCCATTGTTTTTGTACAAAATGGATGACCGTGTCGGTTACATGGCAGATAAAATTTCTCATTGGGACAATGTTGTCTTGGCTTACGAGCCAGTGTGGGCTATCGGAACAGGGAAAGTTGCAACCCCTGCACAGGCTCAGGAAGTAAGCTTTCTTCTCAAACATTCTTAAATGTCTCTTCGATTTTGGTCAATTAACAACTCACTGTGGCTCTTTCAAAGGTCCATTCTGAATTGAGGAAATGGTTTCACAAGAATGTTAGTGCTGAAGTTGCTGAGTCGATTAGAATTATATATGGAGGTAACCTCTTTGCTCCTATAAAAAAACGTCTGCATGTATAGCACGACCGTGACACTATGCATTCTTTTCCTTTACTTTGTTGAGGTGGTCAAAACTGTAAATTCAAGCATACTTGTTAGGAAAGCCTTTGCAATCGAGCTCAAACCCTTGAAAGTACGACCGTGACACTATACATTCTTTTCCTCTACTTTGTTGAGTTGGTCAAAACTGTAAATTCAAGCATACTTGTTAGGAAAGCCTTTGCAATCGAGCTCGAACCCTTGAAAGTACGACCGTGACACTATGCATTCTTTTCCTACATTATTGAAGTAGTCAAAACTGTGAATTCAAGCCTACTCGTTAGGAAAGCCTTTGCAATTGAGCTCGAGCCCTTGAAAGTACGACCGTGACACTGCATTCTTTACCTATACTTCATTGAGGTGGTCAAAACTGTAAATTCAAGCATACTGGTTAGGAAAGCCTTTGCAATCGAGCTCAAACCCTTGAAAGTACGACCGTGACACTATGCATTCTTTTCCTACTTTATTGAAGTGGTCAAAACTGTGAATTCAAGCATACTGGTTAGGAAAGCCTTTGCAATCGAGCTCGAACCCTTGAAAGTACGACCATGACACTATGCATTCTTTTCCTCTACTTTGTTGAGTTGGTCAAAACTGTAAATACAAGCATACTGATTAGGTAAGCCGTTGCAATCGAGCTCGAACCCTTTGAAGCATGATATAGCCAAAAGCAATCAGAGGGAGGGTACTAAATTTTAGGAAACAACCAAATAAAAATCTTAATTTGGTTAACATATATGGACTGTGTACTAGCATATGCAAGTTTGGAGCTAACCTGTCTACGTTGTTGGATGATGAAAGTCCCACATCGGTTAATTTAGGGAATGGTCATAGGTTCTTAATGTAAGAATACACTCTCCATTGGTATGAGGCCTTTTGGGGAAGCCCAAAGCAAAGCCATGAGAGCTTATGCTCAAAGTGGACAATATCATACCATTGTGGAGAGTCGTGTTCGTCTAACATGGTATCAGAGTCATGCCCTAAACTTAGCCGTGTCAATAGATTGGCAAATCCTTAAATGTCGAACAAAGGACTCCAAAAGGAGTCAAGCCTCCTCGAAGGTACGAAGGCAGTCAAAAATGACTAAGACTCCAAAGGAGTCGAGCCTTGATTAAGGGGAGGCGTGCTTTGTTCGAGGGGAGGTGTTGGATGATGAAAGTCCCACATCGGTTAATTTAGGGAATGGTCATGGGTTCTTAATATAAGAATACACTCTCCATTGGTATGAGGCCTTTTGGGGAAGCCCAAAGCAAAGCCATGAGAGCTTATGCTCAAAGTGGACAATATCATACCATTGTGGAGAGTCGTGTTCGTCTAACATACGTTATTAATTTATCTTTTAGGTTCTGTAAATGGTGCAAACTGCAAAGAACTGGCAGCACAACCTGACTTGGATGGATTTTTGGTTGGAGGAGCTTCGGTTAAGGTTGAACTGTTCTCATATCATATAATATTTTTTTTTTCACTTGGTTTGGTGTAGTGAATTTAATTAGACTTTGACTACCGACTCGTCTTTTTTTTTTTTTTTCTTGAACTAGCCCGAATTTGTTGACATCATCAACTCTGCCACAGTGAAGAAATCTGCATGAATCGCTCAAGAACGAGAACGAGATAGTTCGATCTTCCTTTAGGTAACCGGGTATGTTGCAGGAATTGTTGTTTGCTTGAGCAATAAAGTTTTACACCCAATGCTGTTGTATAATAATCACTTTGTATTCTCTTCTTTTTTATGCTTTTTAACATAAATTCGGCATGGTTGAGGTCAATACTTTGTTTAGGATTAGAATTAGATAGATAAATATAAATTTGAATTTTCGTATCTATTATAATTATAAATCGATCTACGAAGTTCATAATTTAACCATTTAAAATTTTACAAATTTAATAAATTAGATTCATAATTTATTTTTATTTTGGTAGAATTGGTTGGGTATCCACAAAATCAAACATCAATTTCACAATTTGTGACACCATTTTAGTAACAATTTTGATAAATGGTATACCCAATTTGGAAGTAATAATATAATTTGGTTTTAATATTTTAATTTAATTTTGATTACCACTGAATTTTTAATTAGATGAGTAAAATATATTTAAGAAAATACTCCATTATTTTGATAATTAATTAAAATAATCATAGCAATTAACCGTAGCATTAATATTAATTTATGATTAGACAGTTCCTTAAACAGCCGTCAGATGAGGTCGCCTTCCTTAAACAACCGTACACTAATTAATTTTTTATACTAATTACTAATAGGCATACAAAAAAAATAATCAAAAATAAAAAATAATATAAGCCAACATATATTCGAAATAAAATATTAAAATATTTATTTACAAAAATGATAGAAGCCCGAAAAAGTTGTACGGAAAATTATTGTTAAATCTGTCTTCAAGTTTAAGTCAACAGATTTGCTACCGCCATTTGACCTTACTCAGTCGAGCGGCGGCTCGCTCGATGGCCGGCGAGGGGGCTCTTGAGCCGCCGAGAAAGAGCGGTCCCTTTAATTCTGGATTCCTCCGCTCCATTGAAATGGGAGGATTTTGGGCGCTTGATTGGGACGCCCGCGTGGACCATGGGATTGAAAACAAGCTCCCATGATCGAGGTATTTCTTCGAGTTCAATCCAATGATAGAAAAGTCAAAAGAGTAACGCCTATCCAATCCCTTACCCATCCAATTTGCTTTCATGTTTATCATTCGGTGCCGATTTGCCGTCAGCAATCTTGTTTTTCACCATTGTGATTCATTGAAGACGATGAAATCGGACGCCTCTCAGACTGCAGCGGGAGCCTTTCGGGGCCCTATCCTCTTTGTGAAATGACAGAAAAAGGGGACCAATATACTCGCCATTAACACGAAACTTCCTACCTTCCTGTCCGCTGGGGGCTGTCCAACCCTTCTTCATGTCTATATTTTAGCCAAATGAACAGGGAAATTTTAGCAGGAACTTTAGGGGTTTGCTTATTTCTTATCAGTTAGATCTTCCGCTGAAGATTGCGCTAAGGAAACAGTGCTTTGGAACGAGGATCTACCTAGTTGGCTTTTCTTACGTGGGTTGCTGATACAATGAAAAGTGGTTTGTATGTTTTTTTGTTCTTTTGGAGTTAGATTGTTCATCTTTGTTCATATGGGCTTGCTGTGAATGTGCTTGATTTCATTGATGGAATATTGATTTGATGCTTGTTATCTTGTTCTTCCCCTTTTTGGTGGTATCAGCATGAAAGTTCTGAAGGTGGGAGTGTCTTTGACTTAATTTTGATGGGTATCTGCTTTAGTGCCAAATCTATATCAGAAAACGATGATAATACAGGTACTACAAGGCTCACTTTATTTGCTAATGAAACAGTGTGGTGGAAGCTTTTAGGCTTTCTGGTTGTCATTTCAAAGTTCTTTTAGATTTCTTATTAATTTACTGAACTTGTTGGGAATATTGTCCTTTATATGGTTCAGTTTGTTGGTATAATGTATAAACTTGTGTCGATATTGATCATACAATGTGCATGAGTTCTTTCTTCTATTGAAGACTTTAGTATCTTTAATTGTGAGATCTCACATCAGTAGGGGAGGAGAACGAAACACTCTTTATAAGGGTGTGGAAACTTCTTCTTAGCATACGCGTTTTAAGAAAGTCCGAAAGGGAAAACTCAAAAAGGACAATATCTGCTAACGGTGTGCCTGGGCTGTTACATTAATTGAACTGAAGTAGTCTCAACCAAGCATGTGTACTCATGAGGATTTGGAGTCAAGTGAATGGCTATTATTCATTACAAGGCATGCATTTGTTTGTGCAGGGGTGAAAAATTCGAAAGATGATAATGATAGCAGTAACATAAACGATAATGGTAGTGCAAGTAGCAAGATCTCGTTGGCTTCAGCGCTGCCAGCCCCTCGGAGCGAGGGTGAAATCTCGCAGTCCTCCAATTTGAAGAGCTTCTCTTTGGCAGAGCTCAAAGAGGCAACAAGGAACTTCTGTCCTGACAGTGTCCTGGGAGTACCTGCTTCTAGTTCAGTTTTCAAAGGCTGGATTGATGAGCATTCATTTACTGCTACCAAGCCTGGAACCGGATTGGGTATCGCAATCAAAAGGCTTCACCGAAACAGTTTTCGAGGTCGCGGAGATTGGTTTGTGAGTTCTCTCTTTGAGATTAGCTGCAGGGTTGTCTCATATTTAACCATCTTCTAGGATAGAATAGAACCTGTGCACTAACATGACTTATTTGTTAAACAAATTTGTGATTCTATGCTGCATAGATCCACTTATGTCATGGCTTCTTTTATCGATTAGGCTGAAGTGAATTTCCTTGGCCAACTTGTTCATTCTCACCTTGTGAAATTGATTGGCTATTGCTTGGAAGACGAGCAACAGCTCATCGTGTCGGAACTTATGCCTCGAGGAAGTTTGGATAATCATCTGTTCCTTCGTGAGTTTTCTGTATCCTTTGATGCAACTCATAAGAACATTTTGAAATATTAAGTGTTTGATACTGAAGTTGTAATTGCAGGGGGCTCATATTTTCAACCTCTTTCTTGGGCTCTCCGCTTGAAGGTTGCACTGGGTGCTGCGAAAGGGCTGGCCTTCCTCCACAGTGATGAAAGAAAAGTGATCTTCCGTGACTTGAGGACTTCAATCATTTTGCTTGATTCTGTAAGTCATTGGTGAAAATAAAGCTTTATTGTGTACCTTTGATAAAAATGGCTTCATGGAATTGGGATCTAGCTGCGTTAGTTACGTTGAGTATTGTTGGGAGGGAGTCCTACATTGGCTAATTAAGGGGATGATCGTAGGTTTACAAGTAAGGAATACATCTTCATTGGTATGAGGTCTTTCGGGGAAACCAAAAGTAAAGCCATGAGAGTTTATGCTCAAAATGGACAATATCATACCATTGTGGAGGATCGTGATTTCTAACATGGTATCAGAGTCATGCCCTTAACTTAGCCATGCTTATAGAATCCTCAAGTGTCGAACAAAAAAATTGTGAGCCTCGAAAGTGTAGTCAAAAGTGATTCACTTGTTGAAAAAAGGGTGTACTTTGATCGAGGGCTCCTGAGAAGGAGTCGAGTCTCGATTTAGGAAAGTCTGTTCGAGGGCTCCATAGGCCTTAGGAGAGACTCTATGGTGTATTTTGTTCGAGGGGAGGATCGTTGAGGATTGTAGGGCAGGAGTCCCACATTGACTAATTAAGGAGATGATCATGAGTTTATAAATAAGGAATACATGTCGATTGTTATGAGCCCGTTTGGGGAAACCAAAAGTAAAGTCACGAGAGCTTATGCTCAAAGTGGACAATATCGTACCATTATGGAGGATCGTGATTTCTAACAGTTTACTCGTTCGAAAGATCGGCGCCAAGCCGTGAACTTCCTTTCTTTTATGTTCAGGACTACAATGCCAAACTCTCTGATCTCGGATTTTCAAAGACACCGGAGAAACAGGGGGTACGAGCAATGTCTCTACCAGGATTACTGAGTACCTCATATGCAGCTCCAGAATATATTGCGACAGGTAATATTCAACACAACCTGAAAACATATTCGTTGCTGTCAAGTATCCTTGATTCTGCTTTCTTTTTCCTGATAAATAACATCGTTTTTTTTTTCGCTACTAATCCGAGAAACTCAAGTCTACTTTGTAAAAACTTTTCGAGTCAACGTAGTTCATCGTAACAGAACAACGTTTACAGTGTCTCACGTTGACTAATTTGTCTTTTCACTTACTATAGGTCAGGCAACCACATCAAGTGATGTTTATAGTTTTGGGGTCATTTTACTCGAAATGTTATCTGGAAGAAGAGCTATTGACAAGAATCGACCATTTAGAGAACACAATCTCATCGAATGGGCAAGACCCTACCTTGCAAACGAACGGAAGAGTGTTCGAATAATTGACGACCGTCTCGAAGGCCAATATTCATTGGATGCAGCCTATAAACTTTCTAGTTTGACACTGCAATGCCTGTCCATTGACCCCAAGTCGAGACCGAGCATGAACGAGGTTGTAATAGAATTAGAACAACTACAAGATTCCACATCCATTAACAGCAACAGAACTTCGACCCGAAACCACATGGCTCGTAGGCATAGCGCTGACGATGCCAATACTCTTCGTAGTGCACGTGCCCATCCTTGGCCACCACCCATTTCCCCTGATTACTCATAAGCAGATGCAGGTGATGGTTTTACAACTAATGTTAGAAACCTGGCTGATACTTGTTATAGTTGAATGGATATACTTCTCTTGCTACAGAGAAGGAACGGTCGTTTGAAATTTTTGTATGTTTTACAAATATACGATACTCAAAAAGATGGTGAGATTCTACATCAGTTGGAAGGGAAGCATAGCATTCTTTTTAAGGGTGTAGAAATCTATCTAGATATGTTTAAACTCGTGAGGCTGATAGTGATTAACCGACCAAAACAGATAATATGCTTGAGTCTTATTTTCTTTATTTCTTACTATTTTATAATTTATTATTATTATTATTATTATATTATCATATTCTCCACTACACAATTCAATAATGTATAATTAATGAATAGTATACTTATAAATAAATGAAATTAAATTAAAATTTAAGATATATTATTATTTTATTAATAAATTATTATAATGGTATAAGATTTATAAATATATCTTATTTAATATAAATAATATATTTAAAATAAAAGCTTATATAAATAAAACCTCAATCTGCACATTATACTGAACCTTGAGCTTTTCGGCGCAATACTTCAGCATCAATTTGTTACCCGCGTCTCAGTTTCTTCTTCTTTCTTCCACATTTTTTTTTTTTTTGCAGTCAAGTATGCGATTGGGGGCGATCCTCTCGGGGTATAGGCTCATTCAAGCATTTCGTCGAACAGTTTCTAGCACTTCTTCGGTGGTCAATACAATCCCCTTTCGATTCAACTTTCTTTGCACTCAAATCCCCGATAACTCATCGGGGAAAGTTTTAGAGTCAGAATTGGAGGGACCCAAGTGCTTATCTTTGAGAATTGAGAGAATACCGAAGGGAGAAACGGTTGGGTACGCCTTCAGGAGCTGGATGGGCGATGGCTTTCCTATTCATCGTGGCGACATTTTTCATGCTATCAATCGCCTCAGGAAGCTCGAAAGGAACAAGCACGCGCTTGAGGTTGCTACATCCATCTCCCTCTTTAAAGCTCCATTTTCGTTTGCTGTTTTTCTTAGATGTTGTGAATTCTAATCTACATCACAGTTGAGTTGGCTGATATCTTTTAAGAATGTAATCCAGAGAAGAACTTGAAAAATAGCAGTTTCAAGTATTTGGTTAAATCATTAAGAAGCTGAAAGTTTCAGAAATGGTGGATTTGGATGCCATACCTTCTCCACAGATCATGAAAATTGCACATAAGTAAAGACTATGAGGATGTTAAGCCGAAGATTGTATTTTCTTAACTTTCCATTAGATTTCATCACTGCATAATGCTTAGAAGAGAACATTGTTTTTTCTTGATTACTCTATTTCTTAGTGTAATGCTGTGTGCTTTTAGTTCATTTTACTTATAGTAGAGTCACTATGATGTAGTATACCAGGCCTGCTTTATAATATAAGATTCATCTTCTGTTAACAGGGCTCTTTTTGTTAATTTGGATTTGTCTTCTGTTCTTGGCAGGTTATGGAGTGGGTGATCAGGGAGAAACCATATCGGATAAATGAATTGGACTACTCCTATTTGCTGGAATTTACAATCAAACACCATGGCATATCACAAGGTGAGAAGCTCTTTTCTAACATCCCTGTGGAATTTCAAGGAGAGTTGCTCTTCAACAACCTTGTGATTGCATGTTTAGATAAGGGAGCTATTAGACTTTCACTGGCTTACATGAGAAAAATGAGGGAAGTTTCCCATCGGATATCACACTTAGTTTTTAACCGCCTCATTATACTCCACTCGTCTCCCCGTCGTCGAAAAATTATCCCGAAAATTCTTACTCAGATGAAGGCTGATAAAGTGCCATTACATGTTTCTACATATAACATTCTTATGAAAATAGAAGCCAATGAACACAATATTGAAGGGTTGATGAAGGTATTTGGTGATATGAAACGAGCTAATGTTGAACCAAATGAGGTGTCTTACTGCATAGTAGCTACTGCACATGCCGTGGCAAAGTTGTATACTGTAGCTGAAGCCTACACCGAGGCTATTGAAAAATCTATAGCTGGGAGTAATTGGTCGACCTATGATGTCCTAATCATCTTGTATGGCTATTTGAAGAAGGAGAAAGAGCTAGAGAGGACTTGGGGTACCATACAAGGATTACCCCACATCCCATCTAAAAGTTTTATACTAGCCATTGAAGCATTTGGTAAAATTGGTTTACTAAGCCGAGCAGAAGAGCTCTGGTTAGAGATGAAAACCAAAAGAGGAATTAAAGCCACAGATCAACTCAATTCTATTTTATCTGTGTATTGCAAACACGGTTTGATTAAAAAGGCAACAGAAATCTTTAGGGAAATTGAAGCAAATGGGTGCGAACCAAACGCCATAACCTTTCGAAACTTGGCTTTAGGCTGCTTGAAAGCTGGCTTGGTGGAGGAAGGCATGAAAACACTAGATCTTGGATCAAATATAAGAAGCAGCAGCAGGAGAATTAGAATGTCAACTCCATGGTTGGAAACCACTCTTTCAATGATTGAAATTTTGGCAGAGAGGGGAGACGTTGAAAATACTGAAAAGTTATTCGAGGAACTCAAGGAAGCGAAGTATACAAGGTACACATTCGTTTACAACACTTTGTTAAGGGCTTACGTGAAGGCCAAGATTCACAATCCAAATCTTTTGAGGAGGATGATCATAGGAGGAGCTAGGCCTGACTCTGAAACCTACAGTTTGATCAAACTTACTGAGCAGTTTCAAAGCTAAAAAAAATGTTTGAACCATTTATACAATTTCAACGGTGTTTCTTTGATCAAGAAGTTGATCTCATGGTGGCCACCTACTTAATTTTTGATATTCTATGAGTTTCTTTGACAATTATGGTTGGATGTTGAGATTAGTCCGATGCATCAGACACCCGTGGATAATATATTGCTAGATTCACCCTGTCAGGCGTCGGCAGTCTTCTTCCAAGCAGATAAGCTGTGGGTACCTCGTGGCCACTTGGCTGACATGGTTGGTTAACTCACGAGTAGCTACGCCGCCCACAATGCAGACTTCTCAAGTCCAAGAGAGAAGTCAAATCTCAAAAGTAAGTTGTCATCAACTTTGATGGAATGGGGGGGAAATTTTGGACATTATAATCCTGTCCATGATTTGGAGTGTTTGGTTTCTGGATTTCACAAACCCTGAGAAGAAACAAGGACACCCCTTTTCACTGCACACAAAGCATACCCTCTCATGTGTTAGAGGAATATTAGGAGGAGTAGTCCCACATTGACTATTAAGAGGAAGATCACGAGTTTACAAATAAGGAACACTATCTTCGTTGGTATGAGACCTTTTGGGAAACCGAAAGCAAAACCATAAGAGTTTATGTTCAAAGTGAACAATATCATACCATTATAGAGGTTCGTGGTTCCTAACATTCATCACATCCTCAAAATGAAGAATTTCCACCCCATTATTTGATCATCATATTTAAGCCCGAGGAAGCCACGAGACCACAAAATGAAGTACAAGGGAAAGTATTTACCAACAATCACAAGAAAGAAAACAACGAAGACAGGACAGAATTATTTGCAGCACAGACTTTTTTATTCAGCTCTTTTGTTGTCTTTTGTAGAGTAAAGGGATGAATAAGCAGACATTGTCGGTCCCTTCTCGTGACATTATTTCCTCTACTTGGTTCAAGCAAGAGCCAATTATTTGATAAGAATTTTATAAGTCATTGATTTATTAGATATATAAAATTAAGATATTTTTAAAAGTTTAGAAATTAAATAACACTTTTTTTTTTGTGTCAAATTCTTCAATAGATATATGTATTTATTATGAACAACAGAGTTTTTTTTTTTTTTTTTTTTTTTTTTTTTTTTTTTTTTTTTTTTTTTTTTTTTTTTTTTTTTTTTTTTTTTAGATCTATGCCAAATCCAAAGACAGGTCCTGAAGAGAAAACAAGATCAGGAAATTAGCTTAATTCAAAACTGGTGGCCGATAAACACAACACCAATCAGCGGCCCAAAAGGCCAACTTTGGGGGTTATCCAACGAGCTATGCGAACTTTGGATATTAAACAATGAAGAAAAGAGGAGTCGGCAATGGATGGATTAGAGCTTCTGGACCATTGGAGCGGCAACTTGGACAAGTGTAAGGAGAAAGAGACCCAAAATTTTGATGGGTCACGAGGATAAATCAAAATTTAGGTGCGAAAGGGGTCGAGAAGCTTTCATTAAATTAGATTTTTGAATAGTCAAGTTGTCAAAAGGTTCCATCAAAGGAAACAAACAGAGAGGTTCCCAATCAAGCGGCTCAACTATAACAGCTTCCTTGCACATGTTGATTTCAAATCAGTCGGCCATTAATGCAAAGTTTCTTCATCTCAAATCCTCCGCCAAGAACAGTACTCCTTTTCAGACCCTCTTTCTATATTTCGTTTTGGTTGCTGATACAAGAAGAATATGTGAGTTTCTTCATTTTTTTTGTTCCTTTCTGCATTTGGGTTTGGCGTCTTTTATCTTGTTTCGTCATGTTTTGCTTGAGATTTGAAGTTGGAATTGGAAAAGAGGCCTTCTGTAGTTATGATTTCATGTTTAGTTATTATCTTCTTCCTCTTTTTGGTTGTGTACAGAGGTCTCCTTTGAAGGTTGGGAAGTCTGTTGGCTTCTTCTAATGGGTGTCTGCTTAAGTACCAGAATCAAAGCTGAAAACTCATGTAATACAGGTACTACAAGGCTTTCTTTACGTAAGTAATGAAACAATTATTTGGATCTCTTGTTGTCTAGTTGAGGCATGCTGTGAGACCTTACATCGGTTGGAGAGGGTAACGAAGCATTCCTTATAAGAATGTGGGAACCTCTCCCTAGCAGATGCATTTTAAAACCGTGAGACTAACGGCATACGTGATGGGCCAAAGTGCGGTGGGCTTGAGCTGTTAAATGGTATCAGAATCAGCACTGGGTGGTGTGCCGGCGAGGATGCTGTCCTAAAAGGGTGGATTGTGAGATCCCACGTCGGTTGGAGAAAGAAACAAAACATTCCTTACAAAGGTGTGGAAACCTCTTCCTAGCAAATGCGTTTTAAAATCGTGAGATTGACGGCGATACGCAACGGGCCAAAAGCGGACAATATCGGCTAGCGGTGGGCTTGGGCTATTACACCAGTTGAACTTTAAATTTATGTAGTGAGATGTCTTCACACTTACCAAGCTAACTTTACTGTCTGCAAAATAAAAGTGAAATGTTGAGTTTTTTCTGGTTCAATTAGTTAGTTTGAAGTTAAAAGGTGGATGTTTCGCGAAGTATTGTAAACATTGAGAAAACGATCATATGATATGCAAGAAAACCTGCTTTTATTGAATTTACAGACATCAAGATCTTTGCTTAAACTGAAAGTATTTCCAAATGAGCTTAGTAAGTGCACCCGTGAGGGTCTCGATTTGATTGATTCGATTAAACAACCGCAAGTTTGTTAGAGGTCGTTTATTTCTTTGTGCAGGGGTGAACTCTAATGCTGTGAGTACTGATGGCAACGATAATGGCAGTACAAATAGTAGCAAGATCACTTTGCCCTCAACTCCACGAACTGAGGGCGAAATCTTGCACTCTAATTTGAAGAGCTTCAGCTTCGCCGAGCTTAAAGCAGCCACCAGGAACTTTCGTCCGGATAGCGTGGTAGGAGAAGGCGGGTTTGGTTTAGTTTTCAAGGGTTGGATTGATGAGCATTCTTTTGCTGCAGCCAAGCCTGGCACCGGAATGGTTATTGCTGTCAAAAGGCTTAACCAAGATGGTTTTCAAGGTCACAGAGAGTGGTTGGTGAGTTAGCCAGCCTCCCCATATCACACGCAGAGATGGTTCATTCTTGTTCTTAAATGTGTACTATCTGTTGGTCAGCTTATGCTCTTCTTTTCTTTCTTCGCGTAGGCCGAAGTAAATTTTCTAGGCCAACTTTCTCACTGTCACCTCGTGAGGTTGGTCGGCTATTGCTTGGAGGACGAACACCGTTTGCTTGTTTATGAATTCATGCCTCGAGGGAGCTTGGAAAATCATTTGTTTCGAAGTTCGTTTTTCTTATCAGCTACCCTTCGATTCGACTTAACCAAAACGACTTCATTTCATTAATGTTCGATAATACATTTGCATAATGTTCCAGGAGGATCCTTTTTTCAACCACTTTCTTGGAGCCTGCGTTTGAAGGTTGCTCTTGGTGCTGCAAAAGGGCTGGCCTTTCTCCACAGTGATGAAAGAAAAGTGATCTTCCGTGACTTCAAGACTTCAAATATCCTACTTGACTCTGTAAGTAACAAGCGAAGATGTGCAAAAGGGCTCGCCAAGTAGTTAATTCTTTCTTGTTTTGAAGCTTCGTTTTCTTCTGTATTCAGAAATACAATGCTAAGCTCTCTGATTTCGGGTTGGCCAAAGACGGGCCAACAGGCGATAAAAGCCACGTCTCGACCAGGGTGATGGGGACCTATGGATATGCAGCCCCGGAGTATCTGGCTACAGGTATTAATATTCTACAGAATCAGAAACTCCTGCTGTCACATTGTCGGCTTGATAATCAAATTTATCGCTCACTGTCTCTAGGTCATCTAACTACTTGGAGTGATGTGTATAGCTTTGGAGTTGTCCTACTAGAAATATCATCGGGAAGGAGAGCAATCGACAAGAATCGACCAGCTAGAGAACACAATCTTGTGGAATGGGCAAAACCTTACCTTGCAAACAAACGTAAGATTTTTCGAATCATGGACAGTCGTCTTGAGGGTCAATACTCATTGGATGGAGCCTACAAGGCATGTACCCTTGCATTAAGATGCTTATCCATTCAACCCAAATTGAGACCAAACATGGATGATGTTGTAAAAGAATTAGAGCAACTACAAGATTCTACATACCCTACTAGCAACAGGAACTCAACCAATAACCGTCGTGCTCGGAGGCATAGCGCCGATGATGCCCATAATCCAAATAGCGCTCAAGCTTATCCCCGGCCTTCCATTTCAGCTCTCCATACACAAGAGGATCAGGCAACTACATTCAGATAGTTTGCAACAAAACTGAGGAACTTAGCTGATGCATTCCAATGTATAGAAACTGTACAGTTTTCATAGTCATCCATCTGAGGCGATTCTTGGGTCGGTTCAAGTAAAGGTTTCTTTTGAATTCTTTGTTTATTGAAGTGTGATTTCTTGTGAATGTACTACCAAGTCTAACTCGATAAGTGAAGTTCCATCCCATCATTCATTTACGTTCATATATGTGGCACAAAAGGCGTTGAAAACTTTCCAATGGAAACGCTACGAAGTCTAAAATCTCGATGATCTAAGGCAAAACTTTAAAGTTTGGTGACTAAATTTGTAATGGAAAAACGTACTAAAAATTTGATGATCTATCGTCGTAAAGACTTTACATGTATACCAGAAAAAAAAAAAAGAGAAAAAGGAGGAAGCCCTCCATATGTTATGCTTTCATTTCCAAAGAAGAAAAGTAAAAAGGGTTTGTCACCAAGTTCTTACCAACCCAGGTGTCCAATTTCTCCAATCTAACTTCCCAAAAGATCTGTTTCTTAAGCTCACCATATCTCTGAAATCAAAAACCTTCTTTAGATGACTCTGCCTATGCCTTGTAGTAGCAGCCTCAACTTCAGCAACCTCTGCCGTTTCCTCCTTCGTTTCGACAATTTCATCGTTGACGGGTTGAGAAACTGCTTCATGATCTTGACATGATTCACTGATGATGTTACCAAGAATCTCAACGACCTCGCTCATTTTCGGGCGATTCTTAGGCTGCTTCATCAGGCATTTGTTAGCAAGTGATGCAAGTTTCTGTGCTGACTTGATGTCGCATTCTCCTTCAAGCCGTGGATCGATAATAAGGTGGAATTTCTTAGGGTCTGAGACGTATGGTTTAATCCATTCCAATAGCTTCTGCTCGTTGCGCGGTAGGTTTCTCTCCACAGCACGTCGACCTGTTATGAGTTCATAGAGAACAACCCCGAAGCTCCACACGTCGCTCTTTGCAGTCAGCCTGCCAGTTTGAACATACTCTGGAGCTGCATAGCCTATAGTGCCTACAACCTTCAAAGACAAGTAACTTGTCATCAGCTTTCGAACGAATCATGTTGCCCACCGCAATATTGTCTTCTTTGAATTTTTCCCTTAGACTTTCCCTCGTGGTTTTTTAAAACGTGTCTATTAGAGAGAGGTTTCCACACCTTATAAAGGGTGTTTCGTTTTCCTCCCCAACCGATGCAGAATCTCACACATGTTTTGTTCTCGAGAATTTCAACTTTCTAAATGCTTAAAAACATATTTTAAAAACTTAGAAAGTCAATCCAAATAGGTTCCAAACGTACCGATGTGAACACATGACTGATTCCTTCCGGAGGACCCTGTCTGGCCAGTCCAAAATCCGAAAGCTTAGCATTAAATTCTTCGTCTAGAAGGATATTCGAAGCTTTTAAATCGCGAAAAATTAGCTGCATTGTATGAAAACAGATCCAAATCACTCATGGTTCCCACAATCAGATTGTTTCTGGGAAGAATATGATTTCATTTGTACCTGAAAATCCATTTCTTCATGTAGATATGCAAGGCCACGAGCTGCATCCTGAGCAATCTTAAGCCTAGCCAACCATGACAATGGTGGAGATACTCGAATCAGAAGATGATCCTCCAAGCTCCTGTTGCGCATAAGCTCATAAACCAGAAGCCTTTGTATTCCCCTTTCATCATCTTCGGCACAGTATCCAACCAATTTCACAAGATTCGGATGCTTCACCACACCCAAAAAGTTCACCTCATTGATCCACTCCTTGTGCCCCTGAATACTACAATTTGTGCGAAGAATCAATCAGATTTGAATCATTCCCGATCATTCACAATTTAGGGTTTCAGAGGATTTAATCAAATAAGAACAAAACTACCCGAGTGATCAATACATTTCGACGTTCGCATTCAACATCATGTGAGACGGTAGTAATAGAAAAACAGATTCAAACACAGCCAACGCTAAAACCAATGATTCCGATCTATCAAGAACATTAATGAACACAACACTAGGAGGAGAAGAAGAAATAGAAAGCCATGCCTGGAAGCCATTGCGATTGAGCTGTTTGACAGCAACCTCCATTTTCAAATCCGACTTGGAATTGGAAGCCGCAACAACTCCTTTAAACACACAGCCAAAACCTCCCTCGCCAATCAACAGCGCCCTGCTAAACCCGCGCGTGGCTGATTTCAACTCAGAAAACGAAAAAACCCGCAACTCGTTCGCTCTCCGTTGAGTCAGAATCTCATAGAACCCAATCGAGTCTGAAAAATCCCTAGAATAGTCAGAGTCGAACTCAGAGCGCCTGGTATCAAAAGTGCTTGAAGCCATACTGAGCGACCGAGCCCAGGAGACCTTGGAGGCTCTAGAAACGACGCCATTTTCATCATCCTTTCTCTCACCATTCGTGAAATGGAAGCATTTCATTTCTTCAAAACAAGTTGTGGCGTTGCAGAATCAGAATGTTGGAAGAAGATTGAGTCAAATGAGAGGGGCGAAGAAGAAGAAATGAAAAATCAAGTGGGTTTGGTTGAGCGTTTACAATTTGAAAATGGAAGAGCATTAGGTAACAGCGCAAAGAAAGAACCATTTGGGCCATTGTCGTTTATAGCGAGAGAGGGTCAGAGGATCACGAGGCCTTGCTGCACACCCAGACGCTGCAGGCCGAAAATGGTTCAGGTCAGGTAGCTCACTTCCAAGGAGGGTCCCAGCCGTTCGTTGAGGGTATTTCTTTGAAATTACAACTTTCTTTAGGGCTAAAACTGTAATTTAGCCACCCTCTCTGGACTGCCGTCGACCAACGGAAAGCAAAGTAACCGTCAACCAGGGGCCTCAAAGTCTGCCCTGGTCTCGCTCTCGCATGGATTTCTATTTTTAAAATTATTATTATTATTATTATTATTATTTTACCTTTTATTAAATTACAGGTCAACTTTTATTTAATTTTACTTAGGTCCTCCAACTTTTTCTAAATTACGAGTTTGGTCCTTGATTTTTAAAGGCTATATAAATTTTAAAAGTTGCTAAATTTTTAATTTTGTATTTACTCAACTTTAAAAAATTATTTAATAATTTCTAAAATTTTCAATTTTATATTATTAAATTTTTAAATTTTGGTGAAATTTGGAAGAAAATTTAATAATTTATTAATTCAAACAAAATATATATATATAATTTTTAATTTAAAAAAAAGATTTTATATATATCTTGACGAAGGCAACATTTAAGTTGAATTTTTTTTCTTAAATACAAATTATGAAATTATTTTGTCACACTCGGATTTGGATTGGAAGAACATTAATTACCAGATTCATAATGAAAGACACATGGAGAGCTCAAACACACCTTTACCTCCCTTACAAGCAACTTCTCTATTACTTCCACCAAAAATCATTATAAATAAAACCCAATAATTGTGTCCCATTCCACTACTTTATTAATTTATGGGCCCTATGTTTATTGGGCCACAATACTCGGCCCAATAAGGAATACTCGTTTGGACTCAACTTTTAACGTGGGCCAGTTCTACTTCCAAGTAAGCCCAAACCAATATTAATAATTAAAAAATATATATAATAAATAAATAAATTATTTTGTGCCGTAATTAAGAATAATAATTTTATGTAGTTTGAGTAAATTAATTAAAAAAATAAAAATATATGAAAAAAGTAAATTGGGAAGAGTGGGACAGTAATTAAATTTGGAGCGTGACAGACGCTGACGCATTTAATCCGATATGTCTAGTCGAAGTATTTTAGGATTTTATTTTTAATATTTTTGGGTTAAAAAAAAAATTACCCGTCTCACAGTCTCTCTTCTTCGTACTTTCTTACACCTTTTCTGTCACTTTTTATCTCTCTCTTGACTCAATCGCTCTACAAAGCATTAATTACTGCCACTTTTCTCTCTCTTTTTTTAGGCTAAATTAATAAGTAACTTAAATAATATATTTCTTAAATTTAAAAAACCTTCACTAATATTTTTTTTATTTATTTAAAAATATTTTTAGAGTGAGTATGCAATTTTAAAATTAAAATTAATTCTATATAGAAATATTTACGTTCAAGATAAATTCGTTGGATGAAAGTCCGAGATAAGCCAATTTAGGAAATAATCATGAGTTTATAATCAAAGAATACTATCTGAGTCATGCCCTAAACTTGGTAGTTTTGTTCTTATCGAATAAAGGATTTCAAAAGAAAAATAAGTTAACTCTCCTCAAAGGCATAGTAAAAAGTGACTAAGACTCCAAAGACATTGAGCCTCAATTAAGGGGAGACGTACTTTGTTCGAGGAGAGATGTTGGATAATGAAAGTCTCACATCGGCTAATTTAAGGAATGATCATGGGTTTATAATCAAAATAAAGTCATGAGAGTTTATACTCAAAGTGGACAATATTATAACATTATACACGATTTTTATTTTTAAAATTTAAATAATATGTTTATATTTATATTTAAATTAAAATTAATTTAAACAATTATTGAGTGCCATAATTTTGGGAAGGGAAAGAGGTTATTTATAGTATTCCTTCTTCCATAAGTTGAATTACGTAGAAGAATAGTGTAAGACAGAGGGCATGGGCCTATAGGGTACCCTACACAACTGCCTGACATTTCCCTATAAATATCCAAACATTACCGGCTACCCTTAAGCCCTACCTTTTAATCTTTTATACCTTATACCCTACTACACTTCGTTTTTTTCAATTTCTACTAATTATTCTTATTATAAATTTTTTTTAAACATTAATTTACTTCTTATAAATTCATAATTCAAATAAAAATAGAAATAACTGTGTCTACTTCTCCACATGGTGTGATCGTGCTTATATCTTATTGTCGGCCTTTTTAAGTGGTTTATTTATTTCAAGACTTCGCTTATTATAATCATATAAGGTGATTTTCATTCTATTTTCGTTCATTCAAATTTTATAACACTCAATTATATGCTCCGATCGAATCTCTTATAATTTAAATTTTTTTTAATGAAAAATAATACTATGACTTGTAATAAGGCACGTGACACTTATTGAGTTGGCTACTTAAATATACCAGGTCCTCTAATTTATTTTATATATATATATATATATATATATATTTTATGGAGAATATTTATAATTAAATTTGGTATTCGCATGGTGCGTTATCCAAATTAGTTTGATTAACCAAATCAATAATTGATGCTACAAAAAATT